TTAATGCATGGACACGTGACTGGCAGGTTACTATTAATCCAGGAAAAACCAAATTCATAATCTTTTCTGTAAAGCAACTGAAGCCAATTCATCCAAATATTATTTTAATAATGAAATAATACATAATGTTAGTAACCATAAACATTTGGGAGTCGGTATTACCATGCATCATGGCAATATTTTCACATGCCACCTCAAGAAGCTCATTCTGAAGAGTTGCCTTGGGATCAACTTGCCCCGTTGGTGATGTCTGTGATGAAGATGGTTATGTCACTGTACGTGATAGTTGCTCTAGTGAATATGGCCGTGTTGTTGATGGTTGTGGTGTCACTGGTGTTAATGGTTTTAGAGGTGTTGATGCTTGTATTGGTGCTTGTGGTAAGGGTTGTGAGATTGATGGCTGTTGTGGAAGTGATGCTTGTGGCAGTGAAAGAAAGAAAGAACTTTATTGAAACTAACTTTATAAGCGCTTAAATTTAAATTAACATAAAATCAATTGCCTGTAATAACCATAAAGGCTAACTATGAACAGGCATGATGTAAGATTATGACATTGATATAGTAGGTTTAAAGATAAATCAGTCAACTTGCAGTAACGGTGGAGACATAAATTGGGAAAATAGATACACGTTTGCATATAGCAAAAAATATTGATCAGTGAAACGGCAACTCATGATAGGTTGGAAAATAAATAGGCAAACAGCCGGAACAAACAATTCGCATAATATTGTGTTGTAGTCTGGAGAAAGCATTGTATCCAACAGGATCATCCAGTATAGTCCCTTATAATATTTAACATATTTTTTTTTAAATACTCAAAGACTAGTTGTCTTTAATGATTCATCTATAGAATTCCAAACTTTTGCTCCTTGAAAACCTATTGAAAATTTACCGTAGTTAGTCCTAGATTTGGGAATTACATAAGAACTTTTAGAGGCAAACCTAGTGTTGTAATTATGAACGCTACTAACTGGTGTAAAAAAATTACAAAAAACATCAGGTAAATGGTTATTATGAAATCTAAACATAAATAAAGCTGTTTGAAAATAAACCAGATCATGTAACTTAATAAAACCAAGATGATTAAAAATGGGAGTGGTATGGTCTGTGTATTGAGAGGTCATAATACGAATAACCCTTTTCTGAATAATAAATAAAGACTCGATAGTTGTCTTATAAGTGTTACCCAAATAATAATGCCGTAAGTAAAAAATGGATATATATATAAGGGCGTAATATAGATTTTTTAGCACTTGAAGATTAACAAAATAATGGATTTTAGAAATAAGCCCAACATTTCTTTTAAGCTTTTTGATTAAATATTGAATATGATCTCTCCAAGACAAATTACAGTCAATTATAATTCCAAGATATTTAATAGACCTTTCCTGTCTAATGTCAATATTGTTAACAGAAAGATGTACTGAATACAGTATTTTTTTGTGGTGGATGAAAAATTACAAAATTAGACTTATTTATGTTAAGAGAAAGCTTGTTGGCACATAACCAATTATTTACTTTAACTAATTCTAAGTTAAGTTGATTTTCAAGTGAAATGATACTCTTATTTTCATAAAATAAATTTGAATCATCAGCAAAAAGATGAAAGTCGATTATATCTTAACAATAGTTGAAGTCATTAATATATAACAGGAACAATAGTGGACCAAGGACGGATCCTTGGGGTACCCCACATTCAACTGCTTGTAATTCAGAAGAAACTTCATTAACTATTGTAAACTGTTTTCTATTGGAAAGATATGATATACCATTCTAAGGCAATTCCTCTGATACCATAACATTCAAGCTTCTGAATAAGAATGGCATGATTTACAGTATCAAAGGCTTTTCTCAAATCCAGGAAAACGCTACAAGAGTATTTTTTCTTTTCAATTCATTTTTGTATTTTATCAACAATATTTGAAACAGCATAGATTGTAGAATGGTTAGATCTAAAACCAAATTGTTTATTGTATAAAATGCCATTGTATTCAAGGTAACTCATTAATCTATGATACATTAGTTTTTCCAGTATTTTATTAAAAACAGAAAGGAGAGAAATAGGACGATAATTTGTAAGACTATTTCGTGATCCGCTTTTAAAAACAGGAATAACTCTTGCAATGTTGAATTGGTCGGGAACAATTCCCATACTAAAGGAATAATTGAACAATATTGCTAGGGGTTCAGCTATAAGTTCATTTATCATCTTTAGGATATTTGTTGGTATACTAAACATACCAGTTGATTTATTACATTTAAGCTTGAAAATTATATTTTTTATTTCATCACAAGAAGTTGGAGACATAAAAAAACTTTCTGGATTTCGATAAGAAATATAATCAACTGCCAGGTTATTTCCCTTCGGAATTAGATTTCCCAAATTTTTTCCAATGCTTTCAAAATATTCATTAAATGCATCAGCTATTTGTTTACTATCTTCTAATTGTACTCCATTAACCTTTAATTTTAATGGACTCTAGTATTGTTAGTTTTAATAGTTATAATCTTCTTTACACCTTGCCACAATTTCTTAGTATTATTACAATTATAATTAAAAAAGTTATTGTAATATTGTCTTTTACTTATTCTCCAGGCTGCAGAGTATGGCAGTGGCGCACCCAAGATAAATTTATGCTATAAAAATTGCGCACTTGCCACGCCCTTCCGTCCGATTTTCCTCACCCCAACCACACAACCACACCAGAGTTTTTTCTGTTTATTTGTAACGATTACATATTAAACCATTTTAACATAAAATGCACCGTGCAGCAATGCAGAAACTCGAGCAAAACCCAGTTTGGTTGGAAGTTTGAACTTGCATGTATTATGCAAAACCCATTTTGGTTGGAAGTTTGAACTGCATGTATTATAACATAACATAACAACGAGCAATTGAGCATTTCTGCACTTGAACATGTGATTATGTACACATGTGGTGATTGTGGTCACTTTAGGATAAGTTGTTTGTGATGTTTCTCTGAGTGGGCATCCACACCGGGCAAGCTCAGAAGTTTGCCTGACCACGACCGCGACCTTTGGAATACTAGTCCAATGCTCCACCAACTGAGCTACAAGTGTATATCAATGTATTCTAAGATATGATGATTTCTGTGTGTTTATTACCTCATAGCTCAGTTGGTGGAGCATTGGACTAGTATTCCAAAGACACAGTGGGCTAGGGGGCTTTGGCCCCCCAGAAGTAAAAGTGGGGGGCCATAGCCCCCCAAAAAATGTTGTTTTTTCTGGAAAAAGTTTGATAATTAAGGAAAAATTTAGGGTATTTTTGGAAAATTTAGGCGTAAGGCAAAAAATTTGCAATATTTTGTTTAAAAAATGTATGTCCGGAAAATTTTTTTGTTATATGTCCAGAAAAATGTTTTGGTTTATGTCCGAAAAAAAAGTGGCGATGGGGAGGGGGAGGAAATTTTAATCTCGAAAAAAAAAATTTAGCCCCCCCCCCCAAATAAAATATGTTCCGCTGCCGCTGCAAAGACACCAACACACACAGAAATCATAATATCTTAGAATACATTGATATTGAAGGAACTACACTCTGTTCCGAAATATCACCAACTCGAACCGACCTGACCTCTTAGCTCAGTTGGCAGAGCAATCGACTAGTATCCCAAAGGTCGCGGGTTCGATTCGCACCGTGATCAGGCAAACTTTTCAGCTTGTTGGGTGTGCTGATATACACTCAGAGTAACACCACAAACATCATATTTACCTGAGTATATAACACCAACACACAGAGAAATCATTATAATAAGTTGTTACATATAAGAGTTGCTCAACACAGTCCTACCTAATATGCAGTGTCACTGAGCCAAATATGTTCAAATATAACTCCAGTGTATAGGCAGTATACCTCAGTTCACTGAGTTGATTAACACATTGTGTTTAATGCATTTTATTTACGTGGACTACATACTCGGAAGACGTACAGGTATTGACAAATACACATGTGAACTAGGCGCCCCTCAACCCTTTCAACTTTTTCATGGGCACTTGAGCAGGCGCACCTGAGAATTTTTGGGCAGTTTTGCTCACCCGCACTTCAGGTGCAGCCTGATTGCGCACTCAAGATCTTGTTGAAAACTGCCCTACTCTGCAGCCTGGCTTATTCTGATGAGGTGATTAAGCTTGTTATGGTATATTTTAAATATAGCATAATAATAACTAGACTGTGTTTTAATAAACTGCTTGTGCAAGCCATTTTTAATTCTAATTGAGACTTTGATAGCTCTTGTTATCCATGGTTTATTTTTAATTTTTATTTCTTTCTTAGAAAGCTTCCTGATAGGAATATGTTTGTCTATGATGGATGTTATTTTAGTATGAAACTTATCAAACATATCACTAGGTTCTTGACTGGCAGCAAGAATTTCCTCCCAATTAACATCTCTCAACTCTGAGTACAACGTTTCTTGATTAAACCTGGAATAATCTCTTGTAAAGATTTTGTCTTTGTGTGAGTTAGAAATAGACTTTTTGATTAGAAGAAAATTGGGAAGATGGTCAGAGAGATCATATAAGATATTACCACTGATTGATATATGTTCAATTGAATTAAAGAATATATTATCAATTAATGTTGCAGAGTGATCTGTAACTCTTGTAGGTTGCAAAATTTGTGGGTGAAAAAATAATGTACATAATGCATTAATAAAATCATCTGTTTCTTGATGACTATTATATTTAAGAAGGTCTATATTGAAATCCCCCATCATGATACAACACTTCCTTTCGCGATGAATTTTTTCAACAGTGGAATTTAAATACTTCATAAATTCATCAATATCACTTTTTGGGTGACGATAAATAACACCACATACTAAATTACTTTTGGATTTGTTATCAATTTCATCCACAATGCTTCAAAATTGCTGTTAGTTTCAGTTATGTCATCTCGAATTAAAAAATCTATTTTCTCATTGATATAAAAACCTACTCGACAAAAAGCAGTAACCAGGTAAATCCGCATTGTCTAACCTAACCTCATTCAACTTAATTTTGGTTTCAGTAATTCCTATTATATTAAAATGGAAATGAAGTTGAGACAATAAGTTAACTAGAGAGTCATAATTAGCAGATAGGCTTCTAATATTACAATGCAATGCTGCGAATGACTCAGAGTTATCAGAAAGAAGATCTATAATGTCCTCATTTTCTTTAATGTCATTTGGAGAATAATAATTAAAATTTATAGAAGATGAAATATGTAAATTCGAATCAGAGTTACTTAAAGGGGAAATATCCTTGATAGGTACATTCCACATCAATATGCAAATAAGGTAAGTTTGTATACTCAATCATTTGAAAAACTCAACATATTTTATAGTAACTTATTGTGATTTATCTTAATGATTAACTTGTAACTTCTGAATATCGTCAATGGAATGAATATTCACCACAGGACTTCTTTCATCTTTACATAACTTTATCTTTTGTTCATTTCTGTCAAGCTTTCTGAAACAAAAATTCGGCTGGTTGAGGTAAATCCAAGATTTATCCTTCAGATTTCTTCTAGCATGATAAAAGTTATCTCTCACTTCTCGCCTGACGAATTTAACAATTACATTTGGTGGTTGATGTTCTTGTAAATTATCAGAGGACTCTGAAACATTTGAGATCCGTCTCCTAGGAAGTCGATGTACTACCGAGATATCTTTCATATCCATCTGCACTCCAATAGTGTTGGCAACTATGTCATTCAGATCATCAGACCTTGAACTACCTTCAGTGTGTACCGGTATGCCTTTAATTTCCAAGATTGTTAATGGTGACTTTCTGCTGGTTAACTTCATTCACCGTCCTAAGTAATTCGGCCTTTAGTCTTTCGTTCTCTTGGATGACATCTTTATTTACTTTCTCAACTTCCTCTGATTTCTTAATCATGTCATCATATTGCGAACTCGTGAACTTAATCGATTTCATTAAGTCTTCGACCGCTAGGTTTGTTTCCCTTACTTTGACATTAATTGGATCTAGTTTTTTATCAAGAATTGCCTCCAAAGTCTTCTTATCCATATCGGAATCAGTATTCTTGGGTTTTTGAATCAAAAGCGTAATATAAACGTGTAAAGCAAAGTAAAAATATGGTCAAATTTCCACTTGTTGTGATTACTGATGTTTCCACTTATGAAGAAATGATGTTGGGTGTGGGGATGCTGATGGTATTCCTGGTGCTGCTGGTAACCAGACTGGAATGCTTGCAAATTGCGCGGGGAATTAATTTTCGCTCCGTTTGTTTGCGTGGATACGGTGCAAAATCGAAAAATAATTTGCGCGGCTTTTAATTTGCGCGGCTCATATCCTATAACTACCCCTAGCATATCAGGGGAAACTTAACTACACCAGCAGTGTCATTACGATTAACACATTTGGTAAGAGAATTTCCAACAAAACTCTGTACATTTAAAACCTAATGCATAGTTTTTTCAACAAGTTTGCAATGATTACAGGTAACTTCACTTCAGTTTTGCTGAAATTTAAGGTTTATGTATCTCTAGTGCTACTGTGCTAGTATTTTTATACTAGAAATACTGTGTCATATTTTATGTTTTTAGCAGCAGGCCATCTCGATCTTTAATTTTTAAACCAGAAATGGCAATGGAGTAGGAGCATTAGCGTGCCTCGATAAGACGATGGACATGCCATTGTTCTGTTTGGCTACAGACCTTGTGTCTTGGAATATAGGTAAACTGTGGCGTTTAAGCCCCTTATCTTTGTCACCTTTCAAGTAAAGAGCTGCAATTTCCTGAACAGACTTTTCACACTGGATTGTTGGAGGCAAGCAACTGTCAATCCTTGCTCTCATGCTTAGAGTTGACAAATTCTGACCACCATCCATTTCTTGTGTTTCAACAATATGATAATGTGATTCAGCCGGTGCTTCCGTACCCAACTTAGCATACAAAATATCAAATATGATGCAGAATTCTTGGCCGATCGACTGATAAAAAATTGTATTTGTGTAGATAGCGGATATAAGGGAATCCTCCTGTAATACAACTTTGATACACGACCCGTCCGATAGCGTTACATCATATTTTTCCAGAAGATCGAAGTTCTTTTTGTTAATCTTGTGAAAGGATGTAACTGTATTGAATATTCGTTGGCTCGAGCGGGATTTGAACTCGCATCTTCGGGTATCTAGACCGCCGCTCTACCTATTGAGCTATCGAGTCAACATCGAGTTTTCCTATCGAGTTTTCCTATCTCTGAGGATGGTTCTGAAATAGAATTGAAACACTGCGCGTCCTCAAAGACAAGCGTTAAGTCGTCACGAAAATATTTCGTGCACTTAAATTGGATAAGACTCGTTACCAATCCCTGTTGACTCGATAGCTCAATAGGTAGAGCGGCGGTCTAGATACCCGAAGATGCGAGTTCAAGTCCCGCTCGAGCCAACGAATTTTTCGTTGCTCGATTGCAGTGTCAGATTAATATGAAACTAGTTTTCCTATCTCTGAGGATGGTTCTGAAATAGTATTGAATATCGTATTTATTTCTATAATTTCTTGAACATTTGGTATAAAATATGAACGTAAAACTCTATACAAAAAACTATAAATCATATCGTGTTCGAGCTTGTGAGTCATATCGTGTTCGAGCTATAAATCGTATGACCTTTGTCTCTATAGCAACAGTTCTGCTATTGGTTGGCATAAATTAAGTCAACATAAATTAAATTTAAATGTTTATCACACTGGCCGGGTTGATCAGCTATGATGATCAATTGAAAGATATTAATAGTAACCATAACATATACTTTTCTATAATTATCAATGTTCAGTCTGTTATTGTCCTTTACGTAAAAGTTCTCCAATAACTGCAGCTGTTCGTCTCGGTCGACCTTTCGTCGTTGTCTCGATAGCTGGTGGTGACGCAGTAGAAACGTCTTCGTCAGTTGGGCTAGGTAATTCGGGTTCCATATGCAATTCCAATGGAATGAGATGTTGTATGGGCCTACGTAGCTCCGTTGTCTTTACTTTATCACCATTTACAAGTTGAATTCTTGCAGCTCGTATTATTCCATTAGCGCTTTGTATTAGATCTTTTATCTTGGCCAATTTCCAAAATAGAAGTGGCGTTCCATCTTCCTTTAAAATCACAATATCTCCGATTGCAATTGTTGCTCGTTCTTTTCCATGTATAGCACGTGATCCTTCTCTTATACTTAAGAGATATTCATTTTTCCAACGCTTTATAAACTGTCCGAGTAGTCTTTTCTGATATTTCGCTTTCTTGGTCAATGCCTCTTGGGTGCTGACAATTTCAAATTGCTTATCATTCGGAGAGGTATTAATCTGCCGTCCGTATATGAGTTGAGATGGAGTTAGCGGATAAGATACTCCTTCGTCGTCGTCGTACATATATGTGAGTGGTCTATTGTTGAGCGTTGCTTCGATCTCCACCAAAACCGTTCTCAATTCCTCGAAAGTTAGCGATGTGCGACCAAGGTTTTTCTTCAGGCAACGTTTGGTACTTTGGATCATCCTTTCCCAAAATCCTCCTTGCCATGGAGCTTTTTCGATTATAAACTGCCATGTAACTCCTTTCGTCGACATATATCGTTGTACTTCATTCGATCTTGTAATCAATTTCACCTCTTTCGCTGCCGCTTTGAATGTTTTTGCATTGTCAGATAATAAACGTGCTGGTAAACCTCGGCGTGATGTGAAACGACGAAACGATAATAGGAATGATTCTACAGACAGGTCTTCGGTGAGTTCCAGATGAATAGCCCTGGTTGAGGCACATGTATATAGGCAAATATAGGTCTTTTGTTTATACTCGTCTTTCACGTACAGAGGGCCCGCGAAGTCTATGCCAGTATTTGAAAACGGAGGATCATCGCTCACTCGACAAGCTGGTAAGGGTGGTTCTTTCATGCTCGTGAACGCCTTTCCTTCGAATCTCTTACACACAATGCATCTTCGTATGATTTGTTTCACTATCTCCCGACCTCGTGGAATCCAGTACTTCTCTCTTATAGAATTTAAAGTCTCTCTGACTCCGTCATGATGCACGCTTTCGTGTCTTGCTCGAATGATTAGATTAGTGACATGATGCTTCGAAGGAAGCAATATAGGTTGCTTAGCTGCTTCAGATACGCTGGAATGTTGGATTCGTCCTTCGCAACATACTATTTTGTCTTCGTTGATAAACAATCCCAATTGTTTCACCAAGGGAGTCGTTCCACCAATTCGTAATTGTCGGATTTCAGGCTCGTAGGACTGGGCTTGAACACTCCTTATCCAGCAGGTTTCGGCTTCTCGTATTTCAGACGCCTTTAATTCTTTCATCGTTGGCAAATCGTGTTCCTTCGATCGTAGACATCGGATGAATCTGAGAACATACGCTGTTACACGAATTAATTTTGTCAGAGAACTGAATCTTGAACAATCGATAACTTGAGACACGTCTTTATCGGTTGACATATCTTCTGTGTTTACAAACGAAAATGTTACATGTGGAGGAGATTTTACTAACTCTTTGAGACTTGTTTCGTCGATTTCTCGAGCTTGTGGAACACATGGCCATTCGCTTTCTGGTTTCTTTAAGAAGTCAGGCCCCTCCCACCATAACTTATTTTCGATTAGCTCATCAGCAGATAACCCCCGAGAAGGTATATCAGCAGGATTTTGATCTCCTGGGCAATGTCTCCATCGTTCTCTTGGTGTAGCTTGTCGAATCTCTTGAACGCGTTTTTGTACATACTGCTTCCAAGGTTTTTCATTTTGTATCCATTGAAGGGTCGTCATGGAATCTGTCCAGTATGTAAATTCGATTGCATCGTTAACAGGAAGACATCTGGATATCGAATTTGACAGTCTGGCGGAGATTACAGCGCTTAGCAGTTCCAGTCTTGGAATCGTTTGAGCTTTCACAGGCGCTACTCGTGTTTTTGCAGCCACTAAACGTGTTTCGATGTGTCCATCCTCGTAAATCGATCGTAGGTAGATCACAGCCGCATAAGCTTTCTTGGACGCGTCACTGAATGAATGGAATTGCGTGTTTGTAGGCTTCATTGACGTATTGAAATAACATCGTGGTATACGAATCCTTTGTAGACATAGCAAATCGGTCATTAAAGAGATCCATATCCTTTTGTATGGTTCTTGTAGTTCATCGTCCCAATCAAATCCTTCGACACACATGGATTGGAAACAGCATTTCAGAACAATGGTAAAGGGACTCAGAACACCTAGTGGATCGAAAATCTTGGCAGATACTTTCAGAAATGATCTCTTGGTCAAAGGAAGCGATTTCGCGAATGTTATCAATTCATCAAGTTCAAACTGAAATTCGTCCGTCTTAGTGTTCCAGGAAGTTCCAAGAACCTTTACTGATTTTGCAGTCGATTGTGAATTGTTGCCAACTGTCGTTTTCGTGTACGATTCATCTGCTTGTGTTATATTGCCATCGTTCAATTTTTTGGATGTTGAGGTGCTTTGCAGGGAATTTTCTTCGTCGTTGATGTATTTGAGCAATTCGGTAGAGTTCGAGTTCCATTTTCGTAAGTTGAAGCTTGCTTCTTTCATTAATTGTTTCGAATTCTTGTAGATTTCCTTGCCCTCGTCGACACAACCAGAACCAGATAAAAAATCATCAACGTACATGGATTTCTGGATCAGTTCGACTAGTTCAGGATCATATTCTTTGCTTGTATTTAGATGATGAGTAAGAACTGCTCCCAGTATTGCTGGAGAGGGGCGCAATCCAAACATAAGACGACAAAATCGCAAGTGGATTATATTCGACTGTGGGTCATATGGATTCTTCATCCACAGAAAGCGTAGCATATCTCGATCATGAGGATTAATTCCCACCATCAAAAAGGCTTTTTCTATGTCTGCTGAAATCGCAATGGGATTCCAGCGAAATCTGAGTAAAACATCGAGTAAGTGTGGGATAGAATTTGGACCAGTCTCTAAACAGTCATTTAAAGCGTGTTGCTGATCCTTCGATTTGGCTGAACCGTCATACACTACCCGTAGCTTTGTTGTCTCTCTATTCTTCCGAATTACAGCATGATGTGGGATGTAGTGTATATCTTTACGCTGAGGTTCTTGTGATTGGCTGCTGTCGGCTTCGAGGTTCTCGATATCTTTCTCTGGAACTTCTTCGATGACACCAGAAGAAAGCTGTTCCTTTATGATCTGATCATATTCCTTGAGAAGCTCTGGTTTCTTTTGCAACTTGAAATGCATTGATCGTAGTCGATTTCTGGATAACTCGTAGTTGTTTGGAATGGGTAAGTGTTCACTCTTCCAAGGTAGACTGACTTCGTAACGGTTTCCTTGTCGATAAACATACTTAGAGAATTCTTCACTCCGAACTGGGTCTTCGGATGGATGGATGCCAATTGACTCGGTCTCCCAAAACTTCTTCAATGTGTCGACTACGTTCTGTTCTTCATCATAGGTACCATGGTTGAATGTCTCGCTCTGTCCGGGTATGATCAAGTTTGACTGTATTTCGGTCGGCGCAGCTGAATCATGAAGTGGACCTGAAAGCAGCCATCCGAGAGTCTTTTACAGCTACTGGACCAGATTCTCCCTTCTGCATTTCTCCAATAACTATTTGCCAATAATAGTCGGAACCAATAAGAACATCTACTGATTCATTTCTATCGTGTTCGAACTCATCAGCTAGTTCAAGACCATCAAGGTGTGGGAAGTCTTCGATGTTGATTCTAGTGGGTAGAGATGAGCAAATTACAGGAAAACTGAGAGCCTTTATTGTTAATTTGCCATGATCTTTGCCTTCGAGATTAAATTCAACCAAGTCACAATTTTGCTTGCGAAATTTGGAATTACCAAACGTATTTAAGTTTAATGTTTCATTCTTCACAGGTTTGAGGTTTAATCTTGTTTTGAGGCTGTTGCTGATATATGATCGTTGGCTTCCGCTGTCGAAAAGGACTCTTACTTTTGTTGATCTTGATCCATTGGAATTAGTTGCTGTAGTTCTCGCTGTTTGAAGAAGCACTGTTCCCTTGCTTCGCACGTTACTTGTAGTTGTGGTTCCCTTTGATTCCTCTGTTGTTTTGTTGCGGTCGGACTTGTTGTCAGGGATTGGGGATTTCAAGGTGTTACAAATGGATTGGTGGTGTTTTTGCTTGCAATGTCTACAACCCTTGGAGCTTTGGCAATTAGAAACGTGATGACCAATTCTAAGACAGTTAAAACATCGATTGGTATTCCGAAGAATATCTTGTCGCTTTTCTGGATCAGTAACCTTCGTACAGGATGCGGAATAATGAAGTTCCTTACAATAAGCACAGCGAACAGTATAATTCTGGTCGTCTTTCGATAAGAAGGATCTGGCAGTCGGTTTATGTCCCTGCCATTTACTACCCTGTTGTCGTACGTGTTCATCAGCTTTGATTCTTTCAGACGCCTCTCTCGCTTCTACTTCTTTCTTAATAATACCTAACAGTTCGTCAATTTTCCATACATCTTGTGTCGAGTTTCGCGCAATTTGAAGACGAATTTCATTTGGCAACTTAGACATGATGACAGGAATTAACAAACTGCCATATTGATCAGCAGAAATACCCAGAGTTGCTAATCCCCTTGTATGCACGCTTATCTTATCGTAAACTAACCTCAGAGTGTCTAACTTGTCACTTGTACAGCTTGGGATCTTTAACAGTTCGTCCATATGTGCACTCACAATTTGTTGTCGTTTTCCAAAGCGTTCTTCCAATATCTTTATTGCAGTCTCATAATTGTCATTAGTCAAAGTTAGTCCTTGTATTGCTCGAGCTGCTGGGCCTTCGATTAATGACTTTAGGTAGTTGAACTTGTCGATGTTGGCAATGTCAGTATTGGTATGTATGGCAGAATTAAACGAGTCCCAAAATGTATTCCATTTGGTCACTTCTCCATTAAACCGAGGCAACGTGATCTTTGGCAGCCTTGGCTTAGTTGCAGAATTCGAATGTTGCTGATTAACTTGTGTAGATTGTAAATTCATAGAATGTTGTTGTTCCACATTTGTGTTTGGCAGTTCAACCATAGCTGTAGATTCTTGTTGTTGCCCTTCAACTGTTGGAATTACGTCGTTAATTACGTGTTGGTTTTCGCTACTTCCGGTTGGTTGAGTTTCGCTACTTCCAGTTGGTTGAGTTTCAATACTTCCGGTTGATTGAGTTTCGATGTTGTTAATTTTACTGTGAACTTTGTCGCCATTTTTTAAGATTGTCTCTATTTTCTTTCGTTTAGATAGGATTCGGTCGTTTATTTCTTCTGATTCCTCGATTTCGTGTGTTATTTCTTCGACATCGCAAAGTAATAAGATGCTTTCGTTTAATTCGTTGAGTAATTTTAGTTTATCTTGTAAGTGTTGATCTATGACTTGAATTCTTTCGTAATCGTAGCTTTCTGCTTCACAAATTTCATCAATTTCGTTGATAACCCTGTCGTCTCATTTGTAATCGTTTAAGTTTCAATTTCTCTTCGGTTTCTGTTGACATCGTTGAAAATCGTTGTTACTATTGATCGATATAAATCTCGTTGTATAAACAATGCTTCTCGTCTGTCGATAATTTTCGTTGCAATCGCGTTTATTCCTCGGCTTTAATCGTTGTTTTAATCGTTAAACTGAACGGGCTTTTCCACATTGGGCGCCATGTATTGAATATCGTATTTATTTCTATAATTTCTTGAACATTTGGTATAAAATATGAACGTAAAACTCTATACAAAAAACTATAAATCGTATCGTGTTCGAGCTTGTGAGTCGTATCGTGTTCGAGCTATAAATCGTATGACCTTTGTCTCTATAGCAACAGTTCTGCTATTGGTTGGCATAAATTAAGTCAACATAAATTAAATTTAAATGTTTATCACATGTAACTTCGACACCTTGCTTAACTATGACATCAACTAACTTTGAATCATCTATGATCATTCTCTTGAAGAATGTTGAGAAGAGACTATGCAGAAGATTTCCCCACACAACATTAATAAGGGTGTTCTTCAATCTCCAAAAAATTTGCCGAGAGAAAAAAGTTCCCAAATCTAGAACGTCACTCTCGATCACTTTTTTTGTGTGTGGTAATGATCACACATAACGCACACATTTGGAAAACGCACTGATTCCCAGCTGCGCATACTTGTTACGATCCACAGGACACCTTTCTCCGGATTTTCTTTGACCGCAAAGACCATCAAAGAGCTTGCCAAAATCAAGGCAGTCACCAGCCACCTTATTTAATTCAGGCATGCTACGTGTTCTTTCTGTGAGAGTTTCGTTTAGCGATGCGGCGAAGTCTGCAAGTTCTTTTTTACAGTCCTTTGTCTCATTTTCCAAACGAACTGTGGTTCAACCAGCGGACCTTTCCTTTCTACATCTTGGGGATTTGTATCATCTGAATTGTCGCTGTCTTCATTACCATCTGAATTGTCGCTATCTTCATCATCATCTGAGTCGCTTTTCTCGGAATTGTTGTCATGTGGCGCACTCCCAGAATTAGACTTTCCAATGATTAGCCAACCATCCTCAAGGTTTGCTTTTCCATACTTTTTCTTCAGAATTTCTTTTCCGTGTTTGGCAATATATGGGCACACACACTTCGCAGGAACTTTCTTATGGACTTCTTTGTTAAACATTTCCAATTGTTGTGATGCTTTATCAACCCAATTGTGGAATTTCCACCCAGGGCACATCAGTGATTGTGCTCTGAGTTGCAGCAACACAAGTGGCCATAGCAGATCAATCATTCCCATTAAATCATAAAGAAAATCCTGTCTGGCTATTTGATACAACAATTCTGGGGTGTTCTTGTGGTCTTTAAATGTCTCGTGGTCTTTAAATACTCTGCTCTAGGTTCAGAAATTGTTTATAGCTGGTGCTTAAAAAGCGTTGCTGAGCAAACGACACTGTAACCTTGAATGGCAACTGCAACTCGTCAGCAGTAGCTTTGGCAAGGCTGTGCATCTTGCCATGACTGAAGGTGTTGTGTATTAAATTCGTTCTTAGTATTAACCTGGACACCAAATCATCTTTATGCGCCTTGAAGACAAGGTCAAGCAGATGGGCTGGATCCCATTGCAATGGCTACCACAGATCAGATGTGCTGAAGGATTATGATTCAGAAGCTCATTCACAGGTTGATTCATTGCTTTGGTGAACGGATTGCATAGATATTGGCCATCAAAAACCCTTCCTTAAATTTGAAGTAGCTGCTCAGAATCTTTGCTGATTCCAGTATGTTCCTCTATATCTTCATATATTTTCTCAGCAAGTTCAGTTGCATTACCCCCTGTCCCTTCTGCGTTGGTGTATACTGGCTTTGGTGAGAGAGGAATAGGTTTTCTTTTCCCTTCCACTACTGCAACAATCACTGTTATTTGATTTTGTAGCCAATGGTTCGTGCTTTTATCAGCAGTAATGTACACATGTGGTGGCATTCCTGTGTTGGGAAGTGGTGCTAGAAGGAACCTCTTCAATTCCTGATCGATATATGCACAAGCAACTTTTATAATATCATTGAACTGTTTTCTTCCGTGCCCAAAATCTCCAACGCCAGCCCCGGCAGAAAAAGTTCTGCAATAGCTGTCTCGTAATGCATACCGGCAGCAGGCGTGGAAAAAGTATCGGAACCTGGGAACCTGGTTCCCAGAAATTTTTTTGAGTTGAGAGTTTTGCAGAAAATTTTCCAGAAAATATTTCAACATTTTGAGATAACCTTGTTTACTCAACTTACAAGTTACAACTATTCTACTTTATTTATACTGTACACGCTAACATCAGCAGCTTTTAAATATTTGACAGAAATTAATTCTTTTACCCACCCTGTCATCACAATGACTGGTAAAATGGTAAATATATACTCTGCAAATTAAATAGTAAACAAATAAAAGTGACGGAATAAATAAGATGATAGGACATGCGTTAGATCCTTACTATGATGTTCTGCCAGCTGAGCTACGCGATCAGGTCAGTTCGAATATGTGATATTTCGGAACTGAGTTTAGTTCCTTCGACATCAATGTAATCTAGTATTCCAAAGGTCATATAAGTTTGATTCCCACCATGGCCAGGCATATTTTTCAAGTTTGCCTGGTGTGGATATACACTCAGAATAACATCACAAACATCATATTCACCTTATTACATAACACCAACACAGAAAAAATCAAGATCCTTACTAGTTGGTCATAACTCATAACCTGTGGTATATAACAGACAACTATTGTGATGTACAAGCGTACGAAAACCAGCCTAAAGCCCATTATTACTAAAGTACAAATAATACAATAATTTTTTCTGTGTTGGTGTAGTGTACTCAGGTGAATATGATATTTGTGGTGTTACTCTGAGTGCATATCCACACCAGGCGAGCTTGAAAAATATGCCCGGCCACGGTGGGATTCGAACCTACGACCTTTGGAATACTAGCCCAATGCTCTTCAATACCAATGTATTCTAGTAATATGATTTTTTTCTGTGTTGGTGTAGTGTACTTCCAACTGAGCTACGCGGTCAGGACGGTTCGAGTAAGTGATATTTCAGAACAGAATCTAGTTCCTTCAATACCAATGTATTCTAGTAATATGATTTTTTTCTGTGTTGGTGTAGTGTACTCCAACTGAGCTACGCGGTCAGGACGGTTCGAGTAAGTGATATTTCAGAACAGAATCTAGTTCCTTCAATACCAATGTATTCTAGTAATATGATTTTTTTCTGTGTTGGTGTAGTGTACTCCGCGTAGCTCAGTTGGAAGAGCATTGGGCTAGTATTCCAAAGGTCGTAGGTTCGAATCCCACCGTGGCCGGGCATATTTTTCAAGCTCGCCCGGTGTGGATATGCACTCAGAGTAACACCACAAATATAATACAATAATTATGCATTTGTTTTGTTATTTTTGTAATTGTAACATTACAAATTTTACAGAACATTTCTAGCCTTTGACCCAGGTTCCCAGAAAGAAAAATATTTTTTCCACCCCTGACCGGCAGATTTCTTTTTAACGATGCCAAGAGCGGTTCTTACCAGATTTTCAACAACACGTTTCTCTTGTTTCCTTACAGAACGAGTTTGGTGCCACCAGGTCAAAGCATCTACATGGGTTTTGTTTTCTCTGGAGTATAAATGGGAAATTGCCCTATTCTTCAACCTAAACCAACTTTCATTGTGCCCTTCTTCATGCAGAGGTAAAGTTTTTTTTAAATCTAAACCTTTACTCAGCGATCCACGAATTTTCCCTGCTAAAATGTTGCAGGAAGTACTTGAAGAGTCTAAAAATTCTTTACATATTTTACAACGAATTAGGCAGGATTCTCCTTCTTTAACCAATTCAATATCCTTCTCAAGAAATAAAAGCTGGTTGATATTTTCTGCTTTTGACCCCGGTGCACATTCTCGATAGTCCCTACTCATTGTTTTTTCTTGTGTCAGATTCTTACAGACATTCTCTGTGACCAATTTAGCTAGAGATCCCAAATCGGTTTTTGTTATGTTTAACGGGCTGCCTATTTGGGCACTCTTTACACAGTTTTCGATAGAACTTTGTAATTTGGTGTTACTTCCAGAAGAGGTTGCTGTACTCTTTTCATCATTATGGCTTTCGTTATCATGCTTTCCTATTTTTTCAACCTGTGTCTTCTTCTGGAGAGGCAAGGTCTTTGACAACAAAGCTGTATGGAGAGCGCCAGTACTAAATATAATTTTTTTTAAATGTTGTTAAGCAGTTGAAAATAATGTGAATTTGAAGTACATCGCACAATTATGAAATAGTTTTAAAAACATGAGAGTTCGCAACATGTATATCCAGATTGACGTTACCTTTCAAGTCTTCTATATTCCCTGGCTGCATCAGTTGCTTGTGGGTCATCATCTCTAAAAACGTCCACTATCCCACTGTGTACACGTTTTACATGAGTGTCAATGGTAGAGGTGTTATAGCGTGAGAGCCAAAATTTTGTTCTCCCCATTTCTTTATATTTTTCATAGCATGACATGCACAATGCAATTTTCGTTTTTTCATGACCACCTTTAGCTCACTTTGTAATAACGGTGCTTGGTGTTTGTGCCTTTCGCTTGCTCATCAGTGCATTAAAAGCTGTAAAAATTCATTGTATTAATTGCTTTAGAATTGTTTATGAGAACAATCAAATACAAACAAATGTCTTAAATGCCAACTACTTGAATTATTATTTGGGTCTTTTCATGACTCCAACATGCATCAAGCTAAGAATAAAAATTACTCTACATATTTTTAAAACAGCTTGAAGTAAATTGTATCTACCCAATAGCGAGAAGGTGTTCCAACTTTTAGTGGGTTTTACTAATATTCCCCCTAACCTTATTGCCAATTAACTGACATAAAATATTTCCTTCAAATAACAATAATAACAACGACAATTTTCATATGCCCTCTGAATTATCAATTGATGACTACTGTGGGTAATTTTTCAATATTTGTGGGTGCATATAAGAGACTTCAGTTAAAAGACAGCTCATCAGATACAGGTAATATTAGCTCCAACAGTTATGGGACCTGCATCTAAAGACTAAAGTTTAATTGTTTAAATGTGTATAACTAAATGTACTATACCTACCATTATTTTCATTTGATTTAGAGCCTTCTTCTGGCTCACTAATCTCACTTGGCTGCCTTGGCACAAGCCCCTTCCTTGGCTGGTCAGACTTGCCATTAATTAAACTAGGACCTGTGGCACCTGCCCAAGAAAAGGTCAAATTAAAATACTAACTTAAGTTCAGTAGCCACTAGCCAACCCAGTTAAAGTGCCTATATAATGGTTTTAGAGTTTGCATATCTCGAAAATTTAGGGTATTTTAAGAAACTTTGCGATATATTTTGTTATTGAAAAATTTCATCTTGATGGGTTTATTAGCTCTTAAATTTACCGGACATGGCGTCAGAAGGAGAATTACAAATCAGTTTTCTATTGTTGTTTCATTACAACAAAATACTCCTTTTGATGTCATGTCCGGTAACTTTAATAGCTATTAATTTAAATCCATCAAGATGAAATTTTTCAATAACAAAATATATTGCAAAGTTTCCTAAAATATCCTAAATTTTCGAGATATGCAAACTCTAAAACCATGATATAGGCACTTCAAGCAGATGAGAAGATATTTCATATTTGTCTTGCATATATGTCTTTCAATTGTCTGGGGCCGGTTTGTTTGGCAAAAGCTGGTTAGGTTAACGCAAATCTACAAATTAAATTTTTCAACAGCTCATCAATCAAGTTGAATACGTTTTTCCAGAAATCTTTTCTGGTTCAATAGAGGTTTTATTTTCTAAAATTTTGAAATGAATGATCATGCCGAAATGAGAAATACATAAACAAAAACAGAGGGTTAACATTTAACGTGAAACCCAGTCCCGGTCAGGATGCGTTTTGTTTGACTTAGCATTTTTTTTCTTAAAATTTTTTTCCCGCCTTTTCTAACTCTCAAAAGGTTTATAGGTTAGGGGTTAGAGAAGGGTTTGGGGTTTTGGGACAAAAGAATAAGCTATAGAATGGATTTTCTAAAGAACAAAGCAAGAACAATATTCATTTTGTTTATGTTAAAGCCAATTATGTCTTTTGAGTTTTGTCATTGTCATTGTCATAATCTGATAATCAACCAGTCACAGAACATCTGTGTGCACCACCACATAACTGTTTGCAAACACAGCATGTTAAACTTTCACTGTCCATGTATAAAGGTGTAGAAAAAACCGAAAACAAGACCAAGTATCCAACGTAACAATCATCAAGCGACTTTCAATCTTTCATTTCCCGTGCAATTTTTGGTGCCCGTATTTAGGGAGTTGCAAGTTAGCAGGCAGTCAGGTACTGGCAAGCGAAACATTTTTTGCTTACGAGTTACGATCAGACATTCGATGTACTAAAATGCAGACAAACTAGTGTAAATTGCTGTAAAATTGTAAATCGAAATTTCGCGCGGATTAAGTTTAAAAATATCTATCATATGCGCGGATGGTTCTCAATTTTTCAATTTTGCGCGGATGAAACCAAAGCTTCGAGATATTGCGCGGAGAAGAACTTCCCTGCACACAGCAAAAATTCCAGTCTGGGCTGGTGATTGTTGTGGGGTAGATGGCTGATTTGGAGCCAGCAGTTTTGCTTGAGGTGGTGGGAAGGTGCCTATTTCTGGAACACATCTGCTTTTGCTGAGGCAGTCTCCTCCACGTTATACCTACAATCTTGGCCAAAAGTTCGTAGAACGACAAAACAAATTCGCAACTTTTTAATATACTTGGGTTTTAAAATCATTTTGCACCTCCCCCTGCTCCCCCCATTCAATGTTGCTCTCCCACATTTCTAGTACACGTGCAATTTTGTTGTAGAGTAGGTCAGATCATAAACATACACGAAACGGCAACATTGAATGGGGGGAAGGGGGGCGCGAGGCCTTAAAAATGCATAAAAATTTATCGTCGTCCTATAGTTTATGGCCAAGATTGTCTGAAAATTGCTACATGTTCATTTCCACGAAAAATGCATTTAACCTTGTACAAGACACTTGTGATAATTTATTCTGAATAAAAATATCAAATATGATTGTTATATGTGTTACGTCTTTAGTTAAGGTGGCTCTGCTAAGTTGCTCAAGTTATACTTGCTTTCAGGTTACATATAAGACAATCATGGTCTTACTCTAGTGGAAGTTGTACAATCAAACTATCAAAGCTCAATCGCTTTTTTATAAATAGGACCATACTCCTATGAAATATCTGTTTTTAAATATAGTTTCAGTTGTTCATAAAAGAAGGCAATCTATACGATATTAGATTGAAATTTAGTCAATGTGTTTAGATAATTGAGAATTATTTGCGCAAGTAATGTAAACAAGAGAAATTTTCTACTTCATTTTACATAATAAAGGGTAATTGCAAGAGCTTATTGCGATATAATAATGCGCTGCAAATCAATATGTAATTGTTATACGTGGGGGCCGCCAGACTTTCTGTATTGTGACACTCCGTACTCAGTGACAGTATACTCAATGACAGTATACTCAATGAAACAAGAGCTAAGCGAACATATATCAATTTGCGCAAGTAATTTAAACAAGGGAAATTTTCTCCTTCATTTTACATCAGAAAGAGTAATTGCAAGAGCTTATTGCGATATAATAATACGCTGCAAATCAATATGTAATTGTTAGACGTGCGGGCCGCCGGCCTTTCTGTATCGTGACACTCAGTACTCAGTGACAGTACTCAAAGAAACAAGAGCTAAGCGAACATATATGATTTCACTGTCTGAAATCAAATGTTTTTAAATGTTGGCATAAGTGTCGCAATTCTGTTTGTTGGTATTTTGTAGGAAAATTGGGCCTTTGGAAAGGACAATCACAGTACTCGCCATAACATGAGTTAAGACAATGTCTATATCTCATATTAAGTTTGGAGGTTTTAATGAGCAATGTCAATTATTGCTTCAAATCTACAATTTGTTTTACCTATTTACCATGAGATTGTAAGGACAGTAACAATGAACAAAATGTTGTGTATATTTTATGTATTTATTTACAATCCGACGAAAAATTAAGCAATTACTGTGAGTACTGTTCATGAGTACTGTCAGTTAGTTATTAAGCTACTAGAGTTCATTTATATGTATATATAGATTAATATTTTGTCCGATACAGCACCAGACTTAATTATTTGGTCAACATCACATCATAAGGACGACCCAATGTTCAATTGTAAAGCCTGACACGGTCTATGCATGCATGCCTCTACAATGGCATCAGCAAAGCTCTTTTTTGTAAGAAATTTCTGAGTGTCCGCTCTGCTGTACGTGGCTATGAACACGATTCGTTGTTGCGCACGCGATATATTCCTCATATCTATAATTATGATATGTTGGATCTTACACAGCAAGATTAATTAAAAATTCTATTTGTCAATTGGCGTGTGTAGCTTTAACTGAAAATATGTATACTAAAATATATCTACAATTACGTTGTATCAGTCTGCCTTTATAACCATTACTGTCCGGTTCAAAATAGACATATATGCTATTTGAAGAGAAGATTAAGGCCCTACCCAGAAATCCGGTCTCAAATTACAGTATACAATATTTATTAATATCTACCTATCATTCAATATTTAGGAATACCAGAATGACTTTTGAAGTGTTATCCAGTAGTACAAGAACATAAGTACATTTTTGAATATTTTTACAACTGGTGTTCTAAATTTAATACATATATATGTAAAGGATTAAAAACATAATTTTCGGACAATCTTGGCCAAAAGTTCGTAGAACGACAAAACAAATTCGCAACTTTTTAATATACTTGGGTTTTAAAATTTTGCACCTCCCCCCGCTCCCCCCATTCAATGTTGCTCTCCCACATTTCTAGTACACGTACAATTTTGTTGTAGAGTAGGTCAGATCATAAATATACACGAAACGGCAACATTGAATGGGGGGGGGGGGAAGGGGGAGGCCTTAAAAATGCATAAAAATTTATCGTCGTTCTACGGTTTATGGCCAAGATTGTAGATCCATCTACCATGAAGATTTCTTCATCGAATGAAACAGGCTGCAGTGGCAACTTTCGGGGGTAACCGAAAGAGCATATGCTTTACTAACTATATTAAGATATATATACTTGGAAAATTACTTTTAGGTCAAACAATTTCTGCATACGGATAGGCAAGCAAATATAGACAATCGCAACAAATCCGCCGTTGCCATTCGTCTTGGCAAACTAAGGGAATGCCTTCAGAGGAAAGGAATTGGAAATGCGGACTGGAAAGAGAAAGAAGTCCGCGATAATGTGGAGAATTTGGACTAGGTATAAAATTTGCGATTCTATAGTATGATTTAATGTGTGCCACTTTTATTACAGGATGTTAAATGTCTGTTTATTTTGTATTCGCATGCAGTTGGATGTTAAATGTCTATTTATTTTTTATTTGCATGCACCTAGTAAATTAACCTTCTTTCGGTTCACGCAGGAAAACATGCTGGTGAGCAAAAGTTTTATTCTCCAAAAAAGAAAGGAGTTAAGGTGAAGGGATGTGTGCTGATCAGGAGGACACTTTTCAACAAAGAAGTTCTTGACATTCTGGATAAAGGTATTATACAAAAACTTAAGTTAGCTCTTTTAGCCCCCCCCCCCCAACCTCACCCACATGGGAGGAAATCGGATATAGTTAAAAGAGAATTAAGAAGTGTATAATTCACAGTATGCCACATCTATAAGCTCATCTAATTACATGTCGTATATATTTCCATCTAGCTACAAATGCAGAAAGTCGAATTAATGAAATTGACGAGGCAAATGAAAGTACTTGTATCCTTGTTTTCATTTTTACACCCGAATTTAATAATGTTTTCAACCCACTGTGTCATGGAATAAAAAGCTTTTCTTAACAAGATAAACAGGTACAATGTCGACAGACTGTTTAAATAAAATCAGCACCGCTTCAGTTGGTGTTCAAGTAGATGTTCTCATTGAAAATAAGTTGGTACACAGTAGAACGTTGCATGCATGATTAGTATCTCTTTCAGTCAAAAATCGTGTATAACTGGATATTTTTCAATCAATCATTGTCTTCAAATAGAAAGACAAGCAGAAACCATGACAACTGACTGCCCAAGCAAGATCAGAACATCCACGTCCATTGGTATTCAAGTGAATACCATTGACATTGAGCAATGCAGTAGTAAGTATATAAGTGTGCCATGGGATGTTTCATATTACAAAATATATGTACCTGTCTATAATAAAATAAATATTTATTAAAATAAACTAAACATTTTATTTAGGTAGCAAAAATTACAGGTTAAATACCCAGTAATTTACATTGTTAAGAAGTTAACAGGCCATCTTTTTCACGTGAACAAAATTTAATCCATAGAAGTTAAAGTGGGCACAATGACAGACTGCTGAAGTGTTGAGACCTGCAAAACCATGCCAATTCGTACTCAAATTGATGCCAAGGACAGCGATCACACCACAGGTACTAATTAATACGTTAAAATTCGAAAAGTATATCAATGTTCCTTTGGAAACAAATAGAAACATATACGTGGTGCCAATATTACAAGCACAGGCCCTGCTGATCATCCAATTGATTTGTCAGTCTTACAAGAGGTGTCTAGTGAGGAACCTACTATACATGAAGGTAAAAACTAAATCTGTTTCCGACAAAAGTGCCAGTTAATGCCATTACTCGTTAGCTCCAATTCAATCCAGGCACGCATATAGTGATAGACAGGTGACCAGGTACCTTTAATACATATTATTTATTCATTTTGATAGATATGAGTTCCAAACCTTCCTCTGAGAATGTTCCCAAGGTATCAAGTTCTGAGACTGCAGAGGATGTTCCTAAATAAATAATTTGGTTACAGAAACCGAACAAAGTAAGCATTTAATTTGTAATCATGACTTAGAAGAGTTGCCCAGTGAGGAACCTACTACGCATGAAGGTGAAAACTAAATGTGTTTCCAACAAAAGTCCCAATAAATATCAGGCGCCTATATGTGATAGACAGTGGACCAGGTGACTTTGATACATATAACATATTATTTATTTATTCATTTTGATAGATATGAGTGCCAAACCTTCCGCTGAGAATGTTCACAAGGTATCAAGTTCTGAGACTGTAGAGGATGTTCCTAATGTATCACATTTAAATAATTTGGTTACAGAAACTGAACAAAGTAAGCATAGCCATATAAGCACAATGCTTTAATTTGTAATCATGACTTACAAGATTTGCCTAGTGAGAAACCAACTAGCATGAAGGTAAAACCTAAATCTGTTTCCGGCAAAAGTGCCAATAAAATTCAGGCGGCTATATGTGTTAGACAGTTGACCAGGTAACTTTGGTACAGATAACATATTATTTATTTTTTATTTATTCATTTTGATAGATATGAGTTCCAAACCTTCTGAGAGTGTTCCCAAGGGTCACAAGGGCAAGCTATCAAGTTCTCAGACTGCAGAGGATGTTCCTAATGTATCACATTTAAATATTAACTTTTTCCGGTGGGGGGAAGCAAAGCCTCCTAAATTTCCGACAAAACTTTCAAATTTCCGACATACCCCCTGTAATGTATGCAGATGCTGCAAAGCATCTGGAAGTAAATATATATTGTCAGGATATTGTCTTGATTACACAACATGGCGTGTGTCCCATAAACATAACATGGTGTCAGGAGAAATCCACTAAATAGAGCTTGAAAAGATAGCCATCCAATAAAACAAAAGATAGAAATACAAGGAATAAAAGTTCGACAACAAGTGTAAACCGAAATGGAAGGGTTTCCAGCCTCAAATATGCCAAAAATGAACTGGTCGAGCGGTGACTTGCCAGCAGCATGGAAATCGTTTCAACAACATTGTGAATTTGCTTTTGGTGGGCCATTAAAAGGCAAATCCGAAGAACAAAGATGCAATTATCTGATGATATGGGTTGGAGAGAAAGGCCGAGATGCATATAATACCTGGAATTTAACAGGCGAAGAATCGAAAAAGCTCACTACTTACTACGAAAGATTCGAAGCGTATGTAAAGCCCAAATCAAATAATATTTTTGCTCGTTACAAGTTTCATAATATAGTACAGCAAGAAAAGGAGCCATTCGAACAGTTCTTGACTAAACTTAAGATCGAAGTTAAAGATTGTGGATACAAAGACCCAGACAAAATGGTTCGAGATCGAGTAGTAATCAGTTGTTATTCGCAAAAAGTACGAGAGAAATTAATACAAGAAGGATCTGAACTAACCTTAGAAAAAGCAGTTGATATCGCTCGAACACAAGAAATGTCAAACACCCAGCTTCAACGTATGGCACCTGAAGATAAAGATGTACACAGCCTCAGAGACGAACGAGAGAGAAAATTTCAATATAAACATGACAAACGACGAAAAGGCCCAAACACCAGAGACAGTTATACTTATAAACAACACTGCAGCAAGTGTGGTATAAAACATGACCAAAATAAATGTCCAGCAGAAGGAAAGACATGTGCAAAATGCAAAAAGCTTAACCCTTTTGCAAGAATGTGCAAATCGAAGTTCAAAGTCAAGGAAAGAAAAAGGCAAGTACATGGAGTTGAAGAAAATGAGTCCGAAGAGAGTGACAGTGAACTATATGTTGGTTCTGTGGAAACTACAGATGTCATAAACAAGAATGAATGGTATGAAGATGTAGAAATTGCGAAAAAAACTGTAAATGTTCAGCTCGACACAGGTGCAAGGTGTAATGTAATTTCCATCAAAGATCTTCAACGTCTTGGAATCAACACAAATATAAAGAAACCAGAAGCACAGCTCAAGTCATACTCTGGTCATTTCATCACCACGAAAGGAGTAACTATTTTACCATGTGAGTACAAAAGAAAAACATACCAAGTAAAGTTCCATGTTGTTGATATTCCAGCACCACCAGTATTCAGTGTCAATACATGCAAAGAAATGGGTCTTGTAGAAAGAGTACATGCAGTGGAGGCCTCGAAGTCACAAGATCATCACAATGCAGATCCCTTCTCGCCACCAAAATTCAACCCAACCCAACAACATGAACTGTTAAAAGGATATGATGAGTTGTTTACAACCTCGTCCCCAGGGCCTTTTGAGGAAAGATGCGAAGGGCAGCTAAGGCCCTGGTAAAGGCTGGTGAAATAATCCACAAATTGTGGATTATTTTGTCACGTGATATATCGGAGCAAATACTATACAGGGGGTGCGATCGCGGATCGCTTCAGCTACAATATATTCGTCAATATTGCATAAACACCGAAATCGACAAATAAAGAACAAAAATCTATTTTAAAATGAAAAAATCTGTTAACGTTCTTCCAAAAATATTGAATAAATTTGAAATTGTCTTCAAATTAGCTCTGAGAACCTTGGTTGAACTGTAAAGGAGATCTATTAAAATATACAAAGCAACAGTGCAAAACGAATGGATCGATAGAAGTATTTATACTATATGAATTACTGTCGCAAGGAAATTGCTGCCTCGATTGTGAAACAGATATGTAAAATCACTTTAATTTAATAATATGGACTCTCAATACACCATATCTGTGATCATCAAAACATTTAATAGTTATTGTTGCTACAATAGATCTTTCTTGCAAATGTCAATATCATACAGTATATTTAACAGTTAAAGGGAGTACAAGGCCCAAAGAATGTCTGAAAAACATTAGGAATGTCAACATCGTATGCACTTGGAATTTAAATGCTTATGTTAGCCATATGCCCTGAGTATAACCTGGTTGACCTCCATGGTTAATTAACATTTCCTGAATTTAACTGAGTTGAAATATTTTATTTGATTTTCATTCTTATCCCAAGAACATTGTGAACACACATAATAGTGCTTTAATTGGGTTTAGACTTCAAAGGCCAAGCATCAAAACAAATGTTGTGATCTTAATGATCAGGCATTCCCAAACAATTACATGCATGAGGGTAAAATCAGACAGAAAGCCTCCATATATGCTTTATCAAGGCTGAATAATATGAGATGGAATTAATCTCCTCATTATACTGTTAACAAGCTCTTGTTTTTGTTTGTAATCAATTACACAAATTACTTCCCAGAACATTATTTAAGGAGATTATTTGACAAGTCAGCAGGTACATTTTTTCCTGAGTCACAATTGGGGCAATTCAGTGTCACTCATCACAACAGGCACTCAAAATCACTCACAACATACAACAGGCAGTTCAGCATCACTCACCACAATTGACTGTTCAATACTGTGTGCCTCAGTAGGCAAATCAATAATCAATATTTTGCTCAGATCAACAACAAATATCAAAATTGAACTCATTCTCAAAACATGATACAATAACAAGGGGTCTCTTATGGACAAATACAAGACACCTGGTGTCAAATGTATCAAGTGACAAGATTATTCATCTCTTTTAATTTAAATACATTTTGCCACCGTGTAATAAAGTACTATTTGTTGTTGGTGACCATCAGTTGAGCAATTTAAAACATTCGCAGTGTATGCTTTATCAGACCTAAAGGTACTTGGCTTCACCTTGTATCTTTATACCTGATAAAACTATAGTACATAAAATAACTATGATATTTAGCCTGCATAAATGTATGAAGGATATTATACATATATTCTGTTGATGATCCGATAATCATTTAACACGAAATCCGATAATCATTTAACTATTGAGAATTGTGTGAATTCCTGAATTACTTATTGTTACAGACTGTACTGACCTCTTGCAATTATGGTTAATATTAACCAAAATCTGACAATGTCTCTAGTTAACCCATTGAGCTGCAATGTGCCCCAGTGTGCCCTACTTACTGAAATTGACTGATTTGTGGTTTATGGGGTTTTTTGTGGCAATTCTTTGGGCATCACAAGTGCATTTGTATATCTTAATACCCTGTGAGAATACAAGTATTAGTATTTAAATGACACAATATGATGTAAGTTACCTTTCAGGTATATAATTTGTATACAGCATCAGTGGTGTAACTTAACTTTTTTGACCACTTGCCCTCAGGGCAAGTTGGACATGAAAATTGGTTGCCCTGAATAAAATCCACTTGCCATCAGGCAATGGGGTACATATGCGGGCCAGTATAAATTAGAGAGACAACATATCCACTCATTGGACTGGTGGCATTGGCTATGTTACTGCCTCAGATCTAGACTACATCACATCTAGCTTTGGCTCACATATTAAACAAAATTTGAATCAAGTACACTTATTTAATGTAACACTAATCACCATTATTTTTTTTTATTAGTTTTACAATAAGAAATTGAAGGCACAGACAACAGGACTAATAAAGTCCCAAAATAAGTCATGCCATAAATTAAGTCCTGCCATATTTTGTTATCATATCCTGAATAAACATTTAATAACCAAAAAGAGAATCAATGCATAATATAATCAAACAATTTAGATGAATTTGATGCAGATGATTTGCCAGCTTGAACCAATGTCGTCGAACAGCCTTTATTCTATCCGACAATAATAATATGAACTGAAAGCTGGGCAGCTTTTTGTGGCAAAGCAACTTGCCCGTTCGGGCAACCAAGAAGAAACTTTTACTTGCCCATCGTGATATTCACTTGCCCCGGGCAAGTGTTAAGTTACACCTCTGAGCATAGTAGTTGCCATTTGGCAGCTGTTGGTCTGGTTGAAGTGCTCAGATAATTTGGGGAGACCCATGGCATGCTCTCTCAACAGTGAAGGTTCAAAAACACACATGCCGGAATGCTTATAGAATACCTCGCCATTTTCCGCATTCATTGACACATAAATAAGTACAAGAATCACTTCAAAATAGTTTAAGGGTAAAGTTTAGAGATTAAATCATGAGTATGGTAGTTTGGTTCAAATTTGAAGAATGAGGCAATCATATTAGATCAATTTTGAGTAAATTGACAATGTTTACAAGGAATTAATAGCGGTACGGTGTGAAAGTTGTGGGTATTCTATAGTTGTATCAAAAAAGTGAAAAACCAAGTTAAAAGCCCCAAGAATACCTGATTGCCACAATGTCATAGAGCATAGTTGCTGACTAAGAAACATCTATTAGACCATGTACAGTACTTGAGTCTTGTGGTAATATCAGTGATATTGCTTTTGTATTATACGATATACTGTAAACTTGCTGTTAACATATTATATTATTAATATTCATGGTTGTCAAATATCATAAAATCAACACACAAAATTCACACACAAAGGTTGAAAATAGTGTATATTGGTATAAATTAACATTTAATAAAAATGCATACATACGTAACCCATGGTCGGCATGGAATTTTGTCACTTGGCACAGTACTTTAATGTTTTTTAATGTTTGTCCCACATTAAAATATATTGAGTCAATGACAGTGCAACTGTTCATATTAAAACGTTCTAATCACATCTTACATGCACATTTGTATTCAGTAGTAATCTTTTCATAAAGGTACATCAAAGTCCCAAATCAAATTCTTCACTGACAGTAGTGACAGTATGTTATTGACTCCCAAACGACAAATATTATAAAACACGCTTCCAAGCTGAAAAGAAATATTTACTGTTGTCAGTCAGTGTTTAGACAATTAGACGCTTCTCTTTGAATCTTGATCTTCCACAAGTATTGCTGTTGATTATATTCCATATCTTTTTGAAGAACATCGCAGACTATATATTTATTTCCACTGTCAGTTGAAAAGTTTATCATCATAGTTTCAGTCGCAAAAGCTTCTATCGCCCCTTTGCACGGCCATGTTTGATAAAATCAAAGCGGCCCGCACCCCCGGTTTGAAAAGCTAAATATTCTGAAATATTCAAAATTTGAAGCATCACGTGACCAGCCTTTACCAGGGCCTTTGCTGCTTCGCCTCCTTCCTCAATAGGCCCTGGGGACGATGTTGAGTTGTTTACTGGTCTTGGATGTTTGCCTGGTGAACATACCATTGAAATTGATCGTTCATATACCCCTGTTGTCCACCCACCAAGGAGAGTCCCGTTAGCCCTGAAAGAGCAGATCAAAGAAGAATTACAGAGGATGAAAGATGCTGGTGTTATCGTCAAACAAACAGAACCCACAGATTGGGTCAACAGCATGGTTACAGTAATAAAACCCGAGAAAATCCGAGTGTGTATTGATCCAAGAGATCTTAATCGAGCAATAAAAAGAGAACATTATCCAATGAAAACGATTGAAGAAGTTGTAGCTGGAATGCCAGAAGCAAAAGTGTTCTCCGTGTTAGACGCCACCTCGGGATATTGGCAAATGAAATTGAATGAAGAGAGTTCGAAACTATGCACTTTCAACACACCGTTTGGGAGATACCGCTTCACACGACTACCATTCGGAATTAAATCGGCCGCAGAGGTTTTCCAAAAGAAAATGTCACAGGTGTTGGAAGACATTGATGGTGCTGAAGCAATAGTAGATGACATCCTGGTGTGGGGAAAATATATTCAGGAGCATGATGCAAGATTGAAGAAAGTCCTCGACCGAGTCCAAGAAGTCAACCTAAAGCTGAACCAGAGGAAGTGCCAAATCAGAAAAGAAGAAATTGCATATGTTGGTCATCTTCTAACCAAGGACGGTCTTAAGCCAGATCCCGAGAAAGTAAGAGCTGTACAAGCCATGACCAAACCATCCAACACGAAAGAGTTAAAAACATTTCTTGGGTTTATCCAATATCTCGCAAAGTTTTTACCCAATATGGCCGAACTCAGTGCACCACTTCGAACGTTGTTGGAAAAGAACACAGCATGGCATTTGGGAAAAGCAACAAGAAGATGGCTTTCAACAACTCAAGAGAATGGCAACCAGTGCCCCAGTGCTAAGTTATTATGATCCCAAGAAGCCTGTTACCTTATCTGTAAATGCCAGTTCGAAAGGACGTGGAGCAGTGCTGTATCAAGAAGAAAAACCAGTTGTATATGCCTCCAGAGCGTTAACACCAACACAGCAAAAATATGCACAAATCGAGAAAGAGACTTTGGCTATTGTATTTGGTACAACCAAGTTTCACCAGTTCCTGTTTGGAAAAGAAGTACTTGTCACATCAGACCACAAACCACTGGAATATATATTCAATAAGCCTCTGCACCAAGCGCCACTTCGTCTACAGAAGATGCTGTTAACCCTGCAAAGATATGAGTTAAGAATTGTCTACAAGCCTGGCAAAGAGTTGTTCATTGCTGATGCCCTAAGCAGCAATTACCTAGAAGAAACGAAAGAAACACTGGTGCAAGAACTCGAAGTAAACAAAGTCCACCTTACAGCCCACTTACCAATATCACCTGAAAAGTACCAAGAATTCCAGAAAGCCACTGCTGATGATGTTGTAATGCAAGCAGTTCAAGATGCAGTTCTCGAGGGATGGCCAAAGAACAAAGCTAATGCACAAGCAGAGATCAAACCGTATTGGACATGTAAAGATGAAATTTCCTGCGTTGATGGCCTCCTCTTCAAGGGAAACAAATTAATTGTTCCGAAGTCCCTTCGACCACAGATGCTAGACATCATACATGAATCACATCAAGGGATCGTGAAATGCAAACAACGTGCAAGAGACCTCCTCTACTGGCCGGGAATGACAAGCCAAATCGAGGATAAAGTGTCCAAGTGTCAAGTTTGTTGTCAATACCAGAAAGCCCAAGCGAGAGAGCTCATAATAACGAGCAAGATTCCTGACCGCCCCTGGGCGAAAATTGGTGTGGATCTATTTGAACATAACAAGACACATTACCTATTAAGTGTTGACTACCACTCCAAGTGGATTAAAATTGCCAAACTGCATGGATAACCAAAGCAGCAAGAACACCATCACTTACCTCCAAAGTCAGTTTTCCAGATATGGTATACCAGATCAGTTAGTAAGTGATAATGGTCCCCAATTCATTAGCGCAGAATTCGCAGAGTTTTCTAAGAAATATGGGTTCACTCACATCACATCAAGTCCTCATTACCCACAAGCAAACGGCGAGGCAGAGAGAGCCGTGCAGACCGTGAAGGGTCTTCTCACCAAAGATCCATACAAGGCATTGATGAACCATCGAAACACGCCACTGAAAGAAATAAACCAGTCTCCAGCACAACTAATGATGGGTCGCAGACTTAAAACCAGTATCCCAACAGCAGCCCCACTTCTGAAATCTCGAGCATCCGACGAAGTTCAGCGAATTTTGAAGAAACAGAAGGAATACTATGACAAGCACACAGGAAAAGAATTACCACCACTTCAACCAGGAGAGACCAATGGATTAAAGCCAAAGTTCTACACAAGCACCAGTCACCAAGATCATATGTCATTGAAAGTGAACAAAGACAAAAGTATCGAAGAAACCGCCGTCATCTGCGTTCCAGTAAACTATCAGAGAAAGAACAGAGGAGTGATGTTAAACATGCAGGCACCAAAGAGCCGAGGGCGAGCAGTGACAAAGCAAGAGCGACAGCAAAGAATTCAGTTGGACAGTCCAGCCAGGGTATCATAGACTCGCAACACAATCCTGTGATGACAAGATCTGGACGTGCAAGTAAACCACCCAAATACTTGATAAACAATTAACAAAAAAAAAACATGGTAACTATACCTTTAAAGTATCATAACTAGTGACAGTTAATAAGTTGCGAACAGTTAAAACAAAACAAACTGAATAGCTATAAGTGTAGTTGATATTTAGGTCGTTGATTAAGATTAGCAAGTTTAGTATGAGAAGGGAGATGTAATGTATGCAGATGCAGCAAAGCATCTTGGGAGTAAATATATATTGTCTTGATTACACAACATGGCGTGTGTCCCATAAACATAACACTCCCTATTTGCACTCGAAAAGACTGTTTTTAGCCCTCTTTTAGGTCAAAATTTCCGAAAATTCATCAATTTTCCGCGAAGGTAGGGGGGGGGCGGCCGCCCCCTCGCCCCCCAAAATTTCCGCCACTGAATGTAGTCATCCTTCAGAAAAATCCATCCATAGTGCGGGGGGGGTTGGACACTAAATAGAATGGCCCATAGTGTCTTGCCTCTGACATAACAGAGGAATAGAAGGTCCAATGTCAATCTCTCTTCTCAACAATTATCCATTTTTGTCTATATTTTTTGAAGTGACAATCCATAGAATATTTCGAGCTGTCAGGATGGCACGACTTTTTTGTGTATTACTGTAATAATAATAATAATTTATCAGCTTATATTGCGCATTTATCAACCATACAGTTTTCAAATGCGCATTACAAAAGTTAAGAATTTTACAAATATATTAAACTAAGAAACGTTCCAAGCTAATCAAAAGCCTGACGAAATAAAAACGTCTTAACTAATTGTTTAAAATTATTTACAGAGGTACAATTTTTAATAAAGTACGGTAGACTGTTCCACAACGCTGGGGCAGCCATACAGAATGCTCTATCTCCCAAAGTCGTAAATGTCTTGAGGGACGGAGTGCTAAGTAATAAAGTATTGCTAGAACGAAGACTGTATCTATTAGATTTTTTAAGACTAGTGAGGTTACTTAAAGGGAAATGGCAATATATTTTTTATTTTCTCATTTGAAAGAACTTTTGAAACTACTTAATAACTTCTTTTACTGATTCTTCATATCTTGCTTAGTTCTTGAAATATTTTCACTTGAAGTAATGAGATGTCAGCCATATTGGATAATTTTTTTATCTCATTAACGGTAGTTTTGGTGACGTCACAACAGGGATTAACCATATAAAACTGTTCGTTGCAGACCAAATATTGATTGTTAAACGTTTTAAAGGTTTCAACTGATCTTGATATTCCCAGGGGCATACAGAGTATAATTTTGAGTGCAAAATGATTAGTGGTTGTCTAAATAAAAATATTGCATGACCTCGGTTGTGACGTAACATGCATATCTACAAAAATCCAAGATGGCGGACATTTCATTTCTTGCGATTAAAATATTCTTGACACACTGTGGTTTCTCCAGAGTTCACTCGTATGGCGTCCCATGTCCGCCAAAAATCAACTTTTGCATTTCACCCTATGATATTTTGAGGATCATATTCATTTCATTAGAATAACAACATTGTTTTTGAAGATCACCGGTTTATCGGGTAAAAACACAACTTATTTTTTGAAGACCAACTTTTGAAAACCAAGTTTGGAAGACCAACTTTGGAAGACCAACTTTTGATACCCAACCGCAATCCAATGTCTTTGTTGTTCGCTGGCTCATTTATTATGTTTTCAAAATGGACGAAGAAGACAAACAATACTTGCTACAAGCAATTTTTGATGTGATAAATTCCATCGACCGTTTTTCACGATCACGAGACGCTAATGTAGACTACCAAGAGTTTAGCTGAAACTTTTTCACAACGGGTGCTAGTAAATATGAATCTTGACTATTCGATATGTGCAAACGTTGGAGAGGCATATGACATTCTTTTCAATATGGAACAAATGGAACACCAATCCAGATAATAGGATATCCGAAAGGGGTAGGGGGTTAACTTCCAATTTCCTCCTTGTGGGTGGTATGGATGTTTTCTGGAATATAATGACCCATTGACAAACAGAGAAAAACAGGATAATGTATTGTCCTAGAACATAGATATCCTAATATATTACACACAGTCAGGTTTTAGCAGTGCCGTAGCAAGCTCGATAATTGGGGGGGGCTGATATTCATATATTTGTGTTCACAGACCATAAAAACAATGGATTTCTAAAGAAATTAATAACACAGAACACGAATATATGAATATTAGCTCCCCCCCCTCCCCAATTATCGACCTTGCTACGGCACTGTTTAGGTGTCCAAATGGTACACATGACATTAAAAACCTGCACGAGCGTTCTCCCTGCCCCTTCCCCCTCCCAAAGGTTGATGTCTGCTGCCACTGCTCGAAATGTTCTCCTTTTGGAGGATGTGAAGAGTGGATATTAAAGTTATAAATGTTTATGTAATCTACTCCTTCACATCCTACAAAAAGAGAAAATCGCAACTAAAATTGCAGCAACAAATGGCAACAATACAACAACTTACTGTGTAATGTTAGAAAATGGAGGGGTATTCTGCAATCTAACCTGATCAAAAGTAAAATACGAGCCGCCAACACCAAGTCATAATTAACTATTAATACATGTCATGTACATTGTACAGCATATGAATAATTCATATTCTTGAATTTACATGAGCCTGCACAAAATGGATAAGGAAAATAAAACATGCACTGAATATATAAAAAGTTTAGTGACTCAGACAGAGATAACTTTAGCGGAAAATCACGAAAATATGAGCCCGCGAACAACAATGACATTGGATTGCGGTTGGGTATCAAAAGTTGGTTTTCAAAAGTTGGTCTTAAAAAATAAGTTGTGTTTTCAATCGATAAACTGGTGATCTTCAAAAACAACGTTGTTGTTTTAATGAAATGAATATGATCCTCAAAATATCATATAGTGAAATGCAAAAGTTGATTTTTGGCGGACATGGGACACCATACGCTCGACCCAGTCTTTCGCGCGAGTTATGTATTGTCGAGATCGAGATCTTGTGTCTGTCTGTTTGTATGTAGAGATGTCGTAATCCGGGGGGAATAATTAAGCTTCAGGAACGTTTGTTAGATGAGGGGAGCGGTCAGAAACAAGATTTTGTATTGCGTACGTATCTCCATGTGCTAGTGATGGGCGATTTAAGATCGGTATCGGCCGATACCTATTTAGATACCAAAATGAATACAAAATTTCAATTTTCGATACCGGAAGTGAGTACTTAAATTGGTAGTATCGGCTACTTTCGATACTTGCCGGTCAATGGAAAAACATTTTACATCACTGTATGTAACTTAAATAAAGCTATAAGTAAACCGAAAGCCCGAAACGTAATAAATATTTTCTATACATGACTTGGCGCACCACATTTGAAATATTAACAGTTATTTTAGTGGTTCATTAAGTCTTATTCAACCAAGCAGTGAAATAAAACAAGTCGTTTAAAAAAGGGTGCAAGTATCGAACGATACCAAGTCAGTAATCGGTACCGATCGTCGATAACCTTCGGTGAGTCAAACAAATCAAATTATTCAAATATCTCATTATATAATTTAGAATAAAATACCATTTCATCGGGGCATGTCTATGGCATGTTTGAATATAAATAGTTTATTTGCCCATATAGTTGAATTACGAGTATTTATGAGTAATAAATATATGTATTAATATATATATATAATACGTATTAATGAGACTAAACTTGATTCATCAATTAATGACAATGAAATCCATATACCAAAGTTTGAAATCATTTGAAGAGATTGACGTACAAATGGCCGTCACGGTGGCGGCATTTGCATTTACATTAGAAGTAATATTAATTACAAAATACGATATAATCTACAATTTAGGGGCTACGGTGGCCAAGTGGTTAGCGCACTTGCCTTTCACCTCTGAGGCTGCAGGTTCGAGTCTCACTAAGTACCTTCTCAGTGCGACTCGAACCCAGTCCCCATGTGAAAAGAGAAAAAGTCAACGCTCTGCCGAACGCCGTGGGTTTTCCCCGGGTACTCCGGTTTCCTCCCACAGGGAAAGTTGACAGGGTGGGTTAGGTAAAAAAGGGCCCACAGTAATTGGCATATGCTGTTGTGGTGACCCTGCCCTAGTTGGCAAAGCTAAATAAATAAATAAATAAATAAATCTGAAACTTTTGAAAATCTATTTGTAGAAATTAAGAAACCACGATTTAAGTCTATCTTAGTTAGTACATGGTATATACCTCCTGATTTACTTACTAGTTACTTTGCCGAATTCGAGCAAATGATTGAATCGTTCGATGCTGAAAATTTAGAGTATATTTTCTGGTTGGTGATTTAAATGTTGGTTTTTATCCCAACGACCGAGCCACCGAGCAAGAATAAAGTAAAAGAAATACTTGATATATACGATGTAGAACAATTAATAAACGAACCGACAAGAATTACTGCTACATCTAGCACCCTGATCGATTTGTGGATACTATCTACAATTGGACCATGGTTAATAATATGAAACTGAACATCAGTAAATGCAAAGAATTGATAATAGACTTTGCTAAAGATAAACAGGAATTCCCACCTTTAATTATAAATGGCGTTGCTGTAGACCGTGTATCATCAGCTCGGGTTCTGGGACTAATTGTTCAGGATAATATGAATTGGAACGAACACGTAAACAATGTTGTCAAAAAAGCAGGAAAAAGACTCTACATGCTGAGAGTGCAGAAACGATCAAACGCGGATACGAACCCGTTAATCACTGTGTACACCACTATTATTAGACCTGTCCTTTAAATACGCCTGTCAAGTTTGGCATTTCAACATCCAAGAGTATTTGAGTGAAGACATTGAAAAGATTCAGCGACGTGCCTTACGAATCTCGTTGCCATTAATGAGTCACAGAGAAGCCCGGAATTTTACCGGTATCTCTTTACTAAAAACGAGGAGAAAAACATTATGTGAACAATTTTTTAAAAAGAATGAGAATAACGATAAACTAAGCGAACTACTGCATCATAAAGCAACAGCAGACTACGATATGCGACCAAGATGCAAGTATAACAATGATCTATGTAGGACTGAACGCTTTAGAAAATCGTTTTTTCCTCAAATTATTTCCAAAGAAAACAGTAAATAACTGACTAGAAGTATAGGCCTATTGATTTTGCTACTTTTGAAATCTTAATACTCTTAATAATGTAATATAACGATAACTTAATACTTTTTAACAGTAGTTACAAATTTTGTAAATTTCTGATGTAATTTAACCTATTGGTTACAAAATTAGTTTTAATAAATTATAAATTATAAAAAAAAACAACCAAAAAACACAATACACCTAGGGTGAGGCGGTTTCTACAAAAAACCGAAAACCGACCAAAAAAACCCGAAAAAACCGAGTGAACCGGTTTTTTTAAAAAAATACGTTCGAAAATCGAAACTAAGGTAAAAAAGACACAACATGCTACTCAGTACTCACGCAAGACTTCGGTTTAAAAACAATTATATTAACCCTTGCTACGAAGTATAAAAGGAACATGCAGTGTACAAGATATAATTTTTACAATAAACTATGTACAAATATTGAAATATTGCGTAAACCACTATAAGTTCTCCGCCAGAAACACAAGTTTGTCAACTTTCTCCGGTTTAAGTTGTGCTTGTGCCGGCGTGCTAACTTGCCCCGCTTTACTGAAAAGTCTCTCCGACGGCGAACTGCTTGCTTGGATGGCAAGATACCTTCTCGATAACTGGCAGAGCAACGGTAGTTCCTTTGCATTTAATTTCCACCATTGAAGTGGATCGTCATCTCCGTCTATCACTGGGAATGCCGAGATATAGCGGTCAATCTCTTTGGATAGACGGCTACGCGGGGATGCAGCGGGCGACGGGGATGCAGCGGGTGACGACGATGTTTTCTCAGATTTCTTGAGGCTCGTCAACGCTCCAAGACTGAGTTTGGCTTTCTTTGCAACAGGCACGGGCAGGACATCTTCATCTTCAACGGGTAACTCCAGAAAAATGGCGTTTTTCAAGAGCTCTTCCTTTACTTCATCAAGTGGTTGTAATTCGTTCTCGTCGACGTCGTCGTCGTACGTATCCGCTGCTAAAAAGTCAGTCTTACATCTTGGATCCAAGAAACACGTTACATTCATCAAAAGCTTCAACGAATGTGCGACATAACAAGCTTTAAGCCTTCGCAAAACATTCTCCTTGATTTCACGGGTCAGTGGTAAATCATCAGCCTGAGGGGCCAACTCGGTCGTTGACAGGCGATGAAGAATCGGTTTCAACGCGCTGATGGTCACGTATTGGCTTGCGGACATGATATCGCTAAACTCCTTGAGTGGACCAAGTGCTGCATTGATGCACTCCAACACCTCCAAGTCTTCCCACTTTGGTACCAAATGGGAAGTGTCCTTGTCGTTACCAAGAACCCTTCTTATGGCCTTCTTGTTGCGCAGGACCCTGCTTACCATATGCTGAGTTGAACCCCAGCGAGTTGGGCACATCTGCAAAATGAAAAAAAATTGAAAGACTAATCAGTTATTACAAATTATATACTATATAGCCATGCATGACTCTCTATTCCTCTATGTATATAAACTCCGTTTACTTACCGATGCCAAATTCTTAAACTTTTGTCCCGGTTCATCCTGAACTTGAGCGGCAGTAAGATCTCTTCTTCTCTTCCAGCTTAATCCGAATGCTGCCACGATCTTCTTGCAAATACCCAATGCACGGCCAATCCTCGGGATATGGTTTAACGTGTTCGTGATTGCGAGGTGGAGGTTATGACCAAAACAGGGTACGTTTGTCCACTCAATGTCTTTACAGGCTTTTTTTATGTTTGTGCCATTATCCGTTGTTATAGCGATTTGTTTCTCAGCGTCCAGCTTCCAATGCGTAAGTATGTCGTTCATTGTTTTGCCCAGTTGTTCGGCAGTGTGGTTTTCAGGCACGAATTTTGTTCCAAGGTTTCGACATTGTAGATTCCACTCCAAATCTATCCAATGCAAGGTGTACCCCATATATGGAGTCAATCCGTGAGAAGACCACATGTCAGATGTGGAAGCGAAGAAATCTACGCTGTTTAGATCTCGCATAACCGCTTCTTTAGTGGCGTCATAAAGTTTAACAGTTTTGTTTCTTGAAAACGTTGTCTTGTTTGGCACGTTGTAACGAGGTTCTAAACAGACAACAGTTTTTTTTAAATCCTGGTCGGCTAACTATGTTAAAGGGAACGTTGTCTTTACACAGGAAGTAGGTAATGGCGTCAGTAATGGCTTCGTGGCGCTTGTTTCCAGGTGTCAATGGCGCACTGCTGGCGAAGAGGCTCTTTACTGTCGGCTGCTGCGTTTCCGACGAAACGGCGCTGCTATCGTTCATCGCCGTCGGTCGGCTCGCTCCTGCCTTTTTTCCTGGTGGCGTCATCGCGGCATATTGGGTAGGATGGAACCTTCGAAGATGCTGCATCAAATTCGACGTATTTCCTCCCTTGTTCTTGATAGACCGCGTGCAAACTTGACATTGAGCAGAATCATCTGCTTTTTGGGTTTTTTTGAAGAAATGCCAAACAGCACTCATTTTGCCAGAGAAGTCAATTGTATCTGCGTGTAGCTGTGAGCATGTGCCTATGACATAGCAAATAATTCTATTTATATCTATGCCGTGTTCGATATGAATATTTTAGACCTGTCTTCGCAGACGTCCGCCTTTGTTGCTAGCGAATCAAAATTCACCATCGTTTGATCCGCTTAATCGCTTATCCGTTCAAGACTTCAAGCTCGCGCGAAACTGTATGGTTCGATTTTAGTAAAATACCGATTTTTCTTCGTTTTTTTTCGTTTCTTCCCGGTTTTTCCGGTAGTAAAATACCGATTTTTCTTCGGTTCTTTTCGTTTCTTCCCGTTTTTTTCGGTTTTTCTGGTTTTTTCGGTTTTTCTGGTTTTTTCGGTTTTCCGGTTTTTCTCCAAAAGTAACATCGAGTAATTCGGTTTTAAAAAAAAATCGTTTTTTTCCGGTTTACCGAAAAACCGCATCACCCTAAATACACCTACTATATACGAGGGGGCCCTAGAACGATAGATGCTAGAACAATGAAGAACTTCAACAGAGAATTGTTTCTAAGCGATCTTGAACTAAACCATTGGGATAGTGTCTATTGCTCCCAGAACACTAACGAAATGTTTGATGTCTGGAAAAAAATGCTCATGAAAACCATAAATAAGCACGCACCACTTAGATCCAGGAGAATTAGAAATAGAAAATCTCCCTGGATTACAAAAGATTTAAGACGCCAGATATTTAACCGAGATTACGTAAAAAAGAAACCTGTTACATCCAATGATCCTAAAATCTGGCATCAATATCGACAAACTCGAAATCACATTAATAATGAAATTAAAAAAAACTAAACAAGTTTATTATAAGAATACTTGAATAACTTAGTTCTTGCACTTCACTTGGTGGAATTAATATTAGGATGTTAGGGTTTGTAATCCAAGTGAGAATATATACATTTTAAGACCTAACCAGGAACGACTGCGAAAAATGCAGCACAAGGTCTTCTGGTAGGAATCGAATCTGCCTTAAAATGTATATATTCTCACTTGGATTACAAACCCTAACATCCTAATATTAATTCCACCAAGTGCAGTGCAAGAACTAAGTTATTCAAGTCCACCTTATCACAACCTGCACACCCGATTACCTATATATATATATATATATACATGAGCTTACGGTTACAGCTCAACAGCTGCCCTCTGTAGCTCAGTTGGTTAGAGCGCTGCACCGGAATCGCAGGGCCGTAGTAGGTTCAATTCCTACCAGAGGACCTTGTGCTCCTTTTTTGACAGTCGTTCCTGGTTAGGTCTTAAAAAATGTATATATTCTCACTTGGATTACAAACCCTAACATTCTAATATTAATTCCACCAAGTGAAGTGCAAGAACTAAGTTATTCAAGTCCACCTTATCACAACCCGCACACCCGATTACCTATATATATATACATGAACTTACGATTACAGCTCAACAGTGGCCTCTGTAGCTCAGTTGGTTAGAGCGCTGCTACGTAATCGCAGGGCCGTAGGTTCGAACCTTGTGCTGCATTTTTCGCAGTCGTTCCTGGTTAGGTCTTACAATGTATATATTCTCACTTGGATTACAAATCCTAACATCCTAATATTATAAGAATAATCTTGAATCGAATAAAGGCAACATGAAAAAAAACATTTAAACTGACTTCACTTTGAAAATACGCTTGTAAACCACGTTTTTATTTCGTTTAAAGTAACATAAGCAGTGTGATATGTATACTTTTAACAAAATATGAATAATACCTAAGCATGGCGATCTACATATCTAATGCGTATGTCCGTGCGTATGACCGCTGTTCGTCTATATCTATATATCTAACAATATGTCTTTGAGAAACTTTTGTCAGAAACTAATTCGGGATAAATTAAATACATTTTGTGTTTGGTCGGGTTACCTGCCACATTTGGCCCAGGCTTGACCGCGTTAATTGGTCCCGCTACCTGGCGTTATAGATTTTGCAAGCTCATTATAAATTCCGCCAGAGTGTTAGCTGAACAAAGTGACGTTATAGATTTTGCATACTAATTACTTCCGTTGCTATAGTGGAGTCTATTACTACTCACGGTTGCAGCTAATTATACCAGTCGTATTAATTTCTTTATAGTGCGATCATACACAAAACCCACGAAGGCGTGGGAAAATAAAGTGCGGCAAAAGGTGAAACCTAAAGGGAAACCAGGAAGGTTTAGGTAAGCTAAATTAATATAGGATCTAGCCAAATATACTAGAAAAACTTGCTTGTATCAAACTAAAACGCCTTTTAAAACTAAACTACTAAATTCCCAAGCACTGTTTCCACATGAAGTATTCCAGGTGCGTAGGAAACATGAAAAAGTTGGGGGGAAGGTCACCGCTTTGCGGGGCACTTTTGAATAACGAGAAGGAAAATGTTGGCGACCTAGTGGTGGGAGTTCGGAGGGAGAGGGAGAAAAATTTTCCAATCATATTATTACATTTCATGTTTAGTACACAGGCAGAAACGCCACAGACGTGCTGCAAGTTTTCAACAAGTTGTAGCAGGCTTGTTGACGTCACCAACTTGCAGCAAGCCTGTTGAAATAAGGCTTGCTGGAAGTTGACATTTGCAGAGTTGAGGCAAGTTGATGAAACAAGTTGCATCAAGTTTGCAAATGTCAATTTGCAGCAAGCATGACAGAACTACTGCAGCACTGAGTAGTTGTCAACAAAGCAGAGTTAAACCTTCTATATTTAAAGACTAACAAATCTACTGGTTTGGATAAAATTCCAGCCAAAAAGTCCTTAAACTGACTGTATATACAATATCATAGCTCCGTCACTGTCTGATATATTTAATTTATCACTCAAAACAGGGATTTATGTAGACGACTGGAAACGGGCTCGAGTACAACCAATTTATAAATTAGACGACAGACAAAAATGTGAAAATTATAGGCCGATTTTTATACTGCCAATCGTAAGTAAGGTTTTTGAAAGACAGGTTTTTAGACAAATTTATAGCTTTATTCCTGAAAATTTCTTACTTTCCAAGTTTCAATCGGGATTTCGACCTAAACACCCTATACTGTCCTCTTTGATACACATGTACGACGATCTTTGAGAATATGGATGAACAGAACAGGAAGTTAGGAACTTGTAACAGGAAGTTAAGAACTTCTAACAGGAACTGAGGAAAATTTAATTGGCTTTTAGCAACATTGAAAATTTTAAGAGATTTGCAAGGGAGTTTTTTAAATTGCAAACGTAATGAGGAAAATTGCAATTAATTTAGAAACTCAAAAGAGGAACGCTTCACGTAGTTTACCTGTAACTACTTTGATATACAAGGAATTCCACTAAATTGGTTCAAGTCTTATCTATCTGATAGAGAGCAGCAATGTCTGGTAAACGGTAATTTATCGAGCCCGAGGGAGATAAAATGTGGTGCACCGCAGGAGATCTTGGGCCCTTTATTATTCCTATTATGGATGGGATTGAATGTTTTATAACCGAACGCTGGAGTCGAAGTAAATTTATCGAATTCTTTCAAATTTTTCAAAATTTTTATTTAAGATTACTTGTAAATATTGACTCTTAACATTAGTCTTAGTTAAAATTTTTTTATACAGTTTAAATGTAATTCACATTGTAAATTAGTATTTAGTACTATTTAATGCGAAATTCTAGAAAGATTAAAGATTAAAAAGGTAAACGACATGCCTGATTGCTTAAAATATTCAATCCCATTCCTCTACGCAGATGACACAGAAATTTATCTACCCTCTAAAGATTGTGATGACATTGTTTTTAAAATAAACCTTGATCTTGACAATATTCGAAAATGGATGCTACAAAATAAGCTCCAAATTCACCCAACAAAATCAAAATATATGTTCATTGGATCAGCGTATAATATTAAACATAAGGTATCTGATAACCCAATTCTTGTTAATAACGTTCTAATACCCAGGACTGAAAATTATATTTGCCTTGGTGTCAACTTTGACGAAAGATTGACCTGGGAAAAAACATATTGATATGATATGTTTAAAAAGTTTCAAAAGTCAGTGCTGGAATCGGGGCTATAATACGTATTAGGCCCTTCGTATCGTCTGCGACACTAAAATTGATGTCCAATGCTATTGTACAGCCCTACTTTGATTACTGCAGTCCTCTCTGGGACAACTGTGAAATAGGCGTCAAGGACAGGTTGCAGAAATTTCAAAATCGGGCTACAAGAGTAATTTCTGGTATGACTTACGATGTTCGGTCGGTTAATGAATTTGAAAGTTTGAGATGGAAACACCTAGAACTTAATTAGGCAAAATTATCTAAAATCTGTTTTTATGTATAAAATTCTGAATAACCACACCGCACCAAATCTAAGAACCTCCTTTCGATTGAATAATGAATGTGATAATACCTATGATCTTAGAAATAGAGAAACTGATTTGTCTTTTCATAAACCGAATACCGATTGTGGTAAAACTGAAAAGATTTATTCATAGATTGAGCATAGCTAGATACATTAAAAATATATAAAATCCATTAAAGCAATTCGTTTAAAGGGTTCAAGTTAGTACAAAGTGTCAAACAAACTAGTATTATTCATATAAAAAGGAACTCTAGTGTCCCTCAAACATAGAAGGGAAGATCTCAGCAGACAAAAAGAGAGTTTCGTACGTAGCCAAGACATATAGTTATTGAGTATGGTTTGCCAAATTTGGCTGCCAGCTTTGTAGCAAGAATCTTGTGAAATCTCGCACATTCTTTACCCATCGCACCATTTGTGCCAAAGACCAATGGTGTAAAAACTGCTTGCTCAATTTCAATTACTCTTCGATTATATTCTCTTTTCTTCTCATTCTCATGACATGAGAGGATCTTGTGGGTTGGTAGTAACTTATAGGACGCGGCGTTAAGATGTGCTACTCTTATGTCAAAAAATGCACTTTGGCCATGTCTATAGAAACCCCTAGCTTTCACATCAAGTCGTGATTCATCACCGATTGTGGTAAAAGATGCTTCAAATAGTTAACATGCATGCACAACTGAACGAAAACGAACGAATATTCAATTTTATAATATAGCATTTGTAAATTCTGAACGCTGATTTGCTAAGAGCTGTGTTGATATAACTCGATGTCAACACGGGAAATTTTCCGCCGCTTGTAAACACGGAAATTTTTCTTATCCTTCGGGTTTTTGACATTGCTATACTATAAAAAAAATATAAAACATTTTTCCGTATTGATATATAGTTATATCAACACTCGTGGAAGTTGGGAAAACTCGAATTGTATGAAAACACTCCGCCCTTTGGGCGTCGTGTTCCCATACAATTTCTCGTTTTCCCAATTCCACTCGTGTTGATAGAACTGTATATCAACACGGAAAATGTTTTATATTTGTTAAATGTTAATAAGAATAGCTTATTGTACATGACAAGATTACAATCGACCATTTGCGTAATAGAAAAAAAAATTGATTTGAACAAGCTTAGACACAAATTTCATCACAGCTTGAAAGAGCATCACAAAATTAGTAATATTCCAAAGTTTCGCTGCGAAATGTTGTAAAATGCGGATAATATAGCCTTGCCAAGTTTGCAATTTTCAGTCATTTTAGATTTTGGTAATCTAAAATGACTGAAAATTGCAAACTTCGCAAGGAAACTTTGGAATATTACTAATTTTGTGATGCTCTTTCAACTAGCTGTGATGAAATTTTTTTCTAGATCAAAATTTAATCTATTACCCAAATGGTCAATTAAACATGCATCTATCAAAACATATTTATTGCCGTTTAGCTTGAAATGGCTGTAAATTGAAAAATAGGCACGCTAAGCGTGCATGTGGCTACTGCTTTCAGTGCTGTCTAATAGACGAGCCCTGTATTTATTCCGTATTATGATCATGAATATAACTATCAGAATACTTTAATACTTTTTATATGTAAGTTCAAGATAGCTTCAATATGCTACATCAAGGTAGCTTTAAATTTCTCAGTTCTCTTGACAGCTTCAGAAGTTGAGTGTAACACGTGTTACATGTTACACTCTGTAATACCGCTAGCTCTGCCTGTGGCCTGCGTAAACTTTCGTTCCTTTGTTGTGCTCATGTAATTAACACTTGTTACGCTCAGTCAGACCGCTGGCAGTGATTTGCGCAAACTTTCGTTTCAGTATGGTGTATCCTTGTTAAGTAACACCTGAAACAAACAAAGAACAAACGATTAAAACAAAGATGAAAAATGTTCATTTCACAGCCAATATATCACTGCTGCTGTACAGTCCGGTCTGCGCATGCGCATATATATTTATTTCATTTTGTGTTCTTGCAAAGCTTGATTGTATCTTGAAAGTTGTATCTTGATCATTTATATACTGTAGAAGCATAAAAATAATAAATAAATAAAATATAAACAGTTGTCGAATAAAGTTCAATATTTTGAATACCGAAATGTAAACAAAGGCTTTGTTTACAAACGGTAACGGACTGCACCCTGGGCTTTTAGGCTTTTTAAACACTAATTAGTTCAGAAATCATGTTTGTATTTCGCTACTAGAATGTTAAACTGTACGTGTTGAATTGTACACAACTACTTTTAAATAGTTACTATTTAATAGTTTTAAATGTACAATAACATGTAACAATATAAATAATTATTAAAACATGTTCGAAACGAAATGAAATGCGATAAATTTGAACCCAAACCTCGACCTAAACAGTATAAACCTTTCCTATACAAAGACCATTAAAAGTCTGATTTCGTGTAACAATTTAATTTTAGTCGTAGATTGCAGTTGCTATCGCGAAACAAATTCGCAGTACAATAAAGGTATTAGAGTTTAGTATATAAATATGCCGACGGCGACGGCCAAAAGCTCAAGGTCAAAACGGAAGTGCAAAAACACCGAAAAGTAAGATAAAAGCGATAAGTTTCGATTTAGTTGTGCCAATTTAAAGTTTTGCATGGAATTAAAATACATGGGAGACTAAATACAGCGAAAGAGGAGGCACATAGCTAGTTTAAAGTCTCGAAGAGGAAAGGAAGACAGTTGACATACAACTGTATAAAGTTCTATAAACGTATTGTTTATAGAGACACGAGAGCGCACGCGATGCGAGAAACACATGAAAAACTTTACATTACTTTCGTTAGAATTTACCGTTTTCTCAACTTTTTTGTATCGTTTAAATATACTACTTAATTTATACCGAATATTAGCCTTTAAATCCCAACTATCTTACAGTTTGGCTTGCCACGTTTCATTTTTGTATCTGCGCGGAGCGCTAGATACTATGCTATCGAGTTTGTGCGTGCGTTAAACACTCAGGTCGACTAATTAGGGCTGTATGCCTGCGAATAGGCCGTAAAACAAAGATGGCGGCTTTCTACAGTGTGACGATTGTTTTATCCTAGAAGATTAATTTATTTATTTCGCCCAATCATTATGGTAATTATTTACATAAAAGTATTAAAGCTACAACTTTAAATGGGGCTAGGAGTCTAAAGAAACCTTCATAGGCTTTTAAGGTAAGGCCCTAGTTTAATGTCCAGTGCAAAGTTTTATATTGCATGTGTCAATCAGTGCCAGTAAAAGTATTTACAAGAATATGAAGATTAATACATTAATATTGCTTTCACTAGTAAGAATAAAGTACATAAGAAGGAGAAAATTTGGAGAGCTATAAAGACATAATCTGTTAATTACATGAATATGAATTATACTTCCTTGTTTAAAATATAAGTTCACTAGATTGTATTGACAATGTCAATTATGTATTTTCGATTTTTTTTAAAGATTGGTAGTGATGTTATTTTTGTCAAGCTAACATCAAGATTATTCTGAACATCCACTCCTTAGCTGAGAGTGAGTGCTTAGTATAATTAGTTCAATGGCAATGCATATGAAGTTTCGACGAGTTTCGGGTACTGTATTACTATTGGTGAATTTGGCTATTTGCCATGCATTGCATGGTTACTCACGAAAAGGCTTTAAGATGTTACTTCGGGCAATGATATTTGCAGCATTCTGAGAACACATTTTGTAAAAAACTAGGTTTTCAAAACACTGTTTTAATTAATGGTATTAAATTACAATGTTTTAATTAATGGTACTATTATATAAGTGTGATTTGTGTTATTTGGTACAAGATTTTTACAGTTTATCAAAATTATAGGAGGGGCTCGGCCCCCCCCCCCCCAGTGTCTGCCACTGGCAGTTGACTGACAGTTGATTGCAGTAGAGAAGAGACTGCAATCTGAACATTCTTTGTCATATCATCAAATATAAACAAAGTGACTAGCTAGCAGCTGGGTATTTATTATAGTGACTATAGTTAAATATAAAAAACTTTTGTTTGCGCTAGCTTTCACCGAGCTTGCCGTTAGAGTGTATGGTATAGGCACTGTGTGCGGAAAGTGAAACGCAGTCTGGGTCGGGTTGTGTTTTGTTTGACTTAGCATTTTTTCTTAGTCACTATATAGCCGGCGGCAGTTTACTAAATAGCTGGTTGCCAGCTGTATAGTCACTTCGAAATTTAAATGTTTACTCAATAATTGTGAATGAAATTTTGTTCATAGCAACCATCGATTTCCTTTGCGCAGATACATGTACGCCTAGCGTACCTATTTTTAAAACTAGTAATGTTTTATTCAAACTGGTAAATATTTTCAAAGCCCCCCTTTTTAGGTCTCTCTGTATTTTTTCAAAGCCCCCCCTTTCAGGTTTTAAAAAATTTAGAGCCCCCCCCAGTTTTTCCTCAATCCCCCCCTGTACAATAAATAATGAGGGGTCCCTAAAGCCTGTTCTCCACTAGGCAAATTTATTCGCGCGAACAGATAAAAAGTAGGAAGCGATCCTACTTTGTCGCCACAAATTTTTTCGCTGACGAATCACGTTGCCGGATTTCGGTTTTCGCTTCGTGCGAACAAATTCGCGTAGTGGAGAACGGGCTTAAAGGTGTGCTTTTAAAGGGATGCAATGTTTGCTGTGATTTTCGGCTTTAATATTCAGGGAGCATTCATTTTTTTAGCTGGGGGGGGATGGGCCGGAGGAACTGATGTCTAATTCCATGCTAAAACTTGGAACCCCCAAGAGAAAAGTTGATAAAAAATTATGACCCCCTATTTTTTTACTGAAAAATTTTTTGGCCCCTCATCCTAACTATTAATAACCCACACGGTGTCGTTTCCGTAGCGTTTCAGGGCCGTAGGAAGCTCTTTTTTATTGGGGGCTGAAAGCGAGGGCCGAAGGCCCGAGGAAATTTTTAAATCTAGATTCTCTGAAATGCCATTTCCTGGACTTTGGGGAAGATTTGACAGAATTCTGATGGTCAGAAAACAGCGTTTTAGTATGTCGAAATTGACAATTTGGTAGTACTAAATGGGCGAACGCGTATTTAATTAACTATATATTGGATAACTAGGATAAGTTGCAGGAAACTGTGGGTACTATCTTCATTCTTTGCAGTTTGTCATGGATAATGTAGCTGCTTAAAATTAATAAAGCTTAAAATTGATAAGGGTCATGATGAAATGCATGCAGACCTTGAAACCATGCATGATTTTGAAATCATGCTACGGTCCTGCGTTTTCTTTCATTCATGTTTTCACACAAAAACGGATAAAAACGAGGTCAATTGACGAACATCATGGAAATGTTTTCCTATGGACTGTGTGAACAGAGCGTCAAATGAATTTTGCTTCTTTGTTAAAGATGACGAGATAGTTGATAGTTTCTAGATCTTTTTACCATTCTTCATCCAAATATTTCCAAATTCTATAAAATTATATTGGCGACTTTTTCACTGATTATTTTTGTGACCCCCTCCATTTATACCAAAACTATAAAAAGACCCACCCCTTTGAAGCATGTCAAAATTTGCTGACCCACCCCCAAATTCCTCCGGCCCACCCCCCCAGCTAAAAAATGAATGCTCCCTTATTCACCTGAGTACATTACACCAACGCAGAAAATATCATTAATTTCTTTTGTATTTTCCTCGTGAATTATTAATGATTTTTTAAATATATTATAATAATAACATTTCTCTGGGATTATTTCAGGTTGATTTTTTCAGACTATTTCTTTTGCTGTTCGAGACAGGTATGATAACAATCATAATGTTTATTTATCTCATCGTGATATTTTAGGGTTAGGATAAAACGCGGATACGGACGGACGGATGGATGGCGGACGGACGGATGAGTGGCGGACAGACGGATGGCTTTCAAAAACGTTTTTCAGCCTTTTTCAGGATAAAACATCCGTCCGTCCGTATCCGCGTTTTACCTTAACCCGATATTTTATTTAAACTCGACTAAAACGTTTTCTTGAACGTGTCCAATTTTCAGATTTTTACAGACTATATACACCTCTTTCTGTTGGACTGAGATAAAGATCAATCATGAAAGCAGGTCAGTGGTTTTTGTTCTCTAATTTCATTGCAAAATATTTTACAAGTTGTATGAAAGCTTTCTCTTGGACCGTTTCCGTAACACATTTGAAGCATCTTTGCCGTATTCGTAAAACTTGTTCATGCAGGTTTACAATGCCCTAGATTTAGTTTCTTGGTGCTAATATAATTAGATGTGCGCTCAGCTGTACAACTATGTTCGCGGTTATTGTTTAGCGCATTTAAAAATTCCCGGTTTGCAATCACTCGTCGTCGAAAGCTAATGTACTTTTCATTAAATTGCGTAGTTTAAGTAAGAGTTAATTACCGAGAAGGAGGGCTTTATGCTATATACAGCCCCGAGAACGCGAAGCGTTCGAGGGCTTTATATAGCATAAAGCCCGACATTCGAGGTAATTAACTGACTTATTTCATGATTGAAGAGGTTTTCTAACAAAGTTTTATTCTTTTTTTTCGATTTCGACAAGTATTTTTCTAGTTTTCTCGCTTATTTCTTGACTAATTAGGGCTGTATGGTATTCAAGGGCATTATGCTATATACAGCCCGCGGTACATCAAAGAAAACCGAGTCAATCATGAAATAAGCCCTTATAGTCAATTTAGCCCATAATTTTAGCAAAGATTAGCGTAACAATCACAGCGCGTCACAAATGCTGCATGGGTTTGTTTATTGGACAACTTAAAATTGAGCTCATAATATTGTGTTTAGTGACTTAGTTTTCATTCTTTAGAATTGTGGCTATTTATCGCAGCATGCTTGCTGTCAATTTGTGTTGGTTATGGCAGACATGGCGGATATGGTGGTTACGGCCGAGGAGGTATAAATATTTAAATTTTTATTAAATTTATCATCTCATTGAAGTAAATTCGTTTTTAAAGTGCCTATGACACGAAATTTCACCCCCAAAGGTTTATGGTTGCATTGTAAAGATCACTTAAAATGATTTAATAATTTCTTTTATAGAATTTTGGTAACTTGCTCCCTTTTCAAGATATTCAACTTTGTTTCATATGCAAATATCACCGGTGTGACATAACATCACATAATGAGTTTTCAGAAAAGTATAGTTTTCTTCTTGACGAATACGCATCTAAAAAACTTAAAAATTGCCCTTGTATGTTTATTAATTTCATAACTGGTAATTAACCCTCTGTATTTGTTTGTAAAAATATTTTATCAAGGTAAAATAATGCGTTTTCAAAATGTCATTGTGCGATGTGATGTCACACCGGTGATATTTGCATATGAAACAAAGTTGAATATCTTGCAAAGGAAGCAAGTTACCAAAATTCTTTACAAGAAATTATTAAGTCATTTTAAGTGATCTTTAATTGTGTGATTTTAATGCAATCATAAACATTTGGGGTGAAATTTCGTGTCATAGGCACTTTAAGGCATGCATTCACCTTTTGAGCGATGTTATTTAATATTACCATACATGAGAAACATATATTGCTGACGAAATGGCTTTAAGGTGACTCAATACAGTTTTAAAAGAAATGTGGAAAATTCACTATTTGGGCAATTATTACTTGTTGAAAAACAAAAAGTATTTTACTGTTGTAAAACAATATCTAAATATCTAAAGAGTTTGAGATTTTTCAAAAAAGTTACACAACACCCGTTCCTATGGCGACAATGACGTTTCAATATGGCTTGAAGTTGCTATTCATTACCACCTGGTTAAATCTTGCAATTCATACTAAGAGTAAGGCAAGAATTCGCCATTTAATTTGTTTATAGTTGATTCATAATATGATTCATCAGTATTGAAAAGTGGATTATATTCATAAAAAAATGGATTATATTCATAAAATAAACACATGTATTAGTTGTATTTATAAATAAAACTTTTTCAATACTGAAATTATACTAAAACAATTAGTCGCCTCGGGCTCGGTGATTACAACGAGCTTCGGCTCAGTGAAAATAGGGCAGGGCCTCTTTTAAGGATTTTCCCGTGGGGGGGGGGCATTTTTTGAAAAGGGACCTTTCTGTGAGATAATATATTACAGGAAGATAGCAATGGCTGAAGGCCACGTGTGCGCCGTACATACCATGCACGCATGAATGAGGGGGGGGGGGTGTACTCCCCCAGAAAATTTTTGAAATATGAAGCACAGAAATGCATTTCCTGCATTCTGAGCATCCAAATTCGCTCCAAAATGTATACTAACTATACTTGTATTTGAAATAAAAGAAGGAAAAAACCCACAAAAAGTAAAAAAAAATATTAACCATCATTTATCATTACTTATTAGAGGAGGATCCCAATGGTCACGTGTGTGGGGGTGTACTCTCCCAGAAAATTTTTGAAATTTGAAACACGGAAATGCCATTTCCTGCATTCTGAGCATCCAAATTTGCTCTAAAATTTATGCTAACTATACTTGTATTTGAAATAAAAGAAGGAAAAAATGCACAAAAGTAAAAAAGAATATTAACCGTAATTTATCATTATACTTATTAGAGGGGGATACCAATGGCCGAAGGCCACGTGTGTGGGGGCATAATCTCCAGAAAATTTTTCAAATTTGAAACCTGGAAATGCTCTTTCCTGCATTCTGAGCAACCAAAAAATAAAAAATTATTAACAATAATTTATCATTACTTAGTGATAGAAAAACGTAACAATTTAGATCGATTTTGTTAAACAAGGACAAAGGATAAAGCCTAAAACTTACTTTCCGTTTATTTATTTGTTATTCTTCGCTGTTTTGTTGGTATAAATTTAGGAAAAAGAGACTTTTCCTGGGGGGGGGGGGCAAAATGTGATTTCGTGGGGGCACAAAGGGGGACTGGGGGGGGGCAAATGCCCCCCCCCCCTCCAGCTTGTATGTTAAAAAAGGCCCTGATATATGGTATAATAATCTGGCCTAACAATTATTTGCTTTACTATCTGATACCAAAAACAATGTTTCCAGTCAATGACCCATAGTGTGCACCAGAACCAGATATTGAAGTATTTTGTGCACAAATTTTGTGAATCAAGAGCAGTTAGTGCATGGCACATTTGCCGTGCACATTGCCTTCATTCCATGGAGCAGAGGATTTTGTAAAAGACGTGATATTGACGTCGTTTTTGGCCGCAGAAAAGTATATTTGACGTAATCTTCCCTAACTAATTAGAGAGTTTAAGATGCCGACAACAAACAACGAGTCGGATACGGCTGAAAGCTTGTATTCGCATGCTTTAACCGAGGCAGACAAAATTTGCATATCCCCCAGAACATACGCGTTTCGCCGTAGCGACCTTGACTACAGCGTAAAAATCACATTCCTGTGAATTCCTGTGTTGTAAAACAGAATCAAGAACATACACCGAAACTGACTACGCAACGTTGCACGTTGGAGAGTATTTTTATAACTAGAAATGATGAAAGTTAATAATAGATGAAACTTACCGAACACAAAGCCATGCACATAAAACATATTTGCTGGATAAATTTGTCATGACAAGCATTTAGTACAGTTTGCATACATATAACAAAAACTATTTCAAACGTGTCGGCAGTTCGTCGTCAAGATTTTAAATTCCCTATTATTATATTTACAACAGGTGGTGGTTATGGTGGTGGTCGTGGTGGTGGTTATGGTGGTCATGGTGGTGGTTATGGTGGTCGTGGTGGTGGTTATGGTGGTCATGGTGGTGGTTATGGTGGTGGTTATGGTGGTGGTCATGGTGGTCGTGGTGGTGGTTATGGTGGTCATGGTGGTCATGGTGGGGGTTATGGTCATGGTGGTGGTCATGGTGGATGGCCAAAACCAACGACACCCGCAGGGCCTGCATCATGTTTTGACAATACAGACTACGTCCGATGTTCTCCTGAAACGGATTACCATCCTTCTGTGTGTGACTGTGGAAACAGGAGAGTATGTTATATACAGATGACAATCACCAGAAATGCTGGCGTCACAGCGAGAGGGGATCAGGGCAGTAAGTACAGCGTCAATGGCGGAAGAATTGGTCCTACTATTATGATAAACCAATACCAAATATTAGTAGTTGATCTGACCAATAATCTGCCAGATGAGCCTACTACAATGCACTGGCATGGCATGCACCAGACCAATGTGCCGTGGATGGATGGTGTTCAAATGATCACGCAGTGGCCTATACCTGCTAATGGCGGGAAATTCAGGTATGCTTCATCTATATTATTGGTATTTTATGCTTTGATATTCTATATGCATGGAGTTCCTCAGGGTTCAATATTGGTTCCACTTCTGTTTTTAATTTATATCAATGATTTCCCGAACTGCTTATACAACACTCTACAGCACGTATGTTCACCGTTGATACTAACATCACAGTGTCCGGTAAATCAATTGAAGAAGCTGCGGTAGCCGTTAATGCTGATCTCAATAATATCAGAGAATGGCTTCTATCAAACAGGCTTTGTCTTAACCTAGTCAAAACGGAATATCTTTTGATTGGATCACGGTACAATATTAATTATAACACGTTGGAAGAACAACCGCGTATTTTTATTGGGGATGAACCAATTAAAGGAGTTCAGATTACAAAAGCTCTTGGAGTCAAATTGATCAATTTTTAACTTGGGACAGTCATATTGACCATATATATTTCGAAAAAAATAACTTCTGGAATAAGTGCCATGAAAAAGATGAAGGATTTCATTGATTCCGATACTTTGATGTCAGTTTATTATGGCCTTGTCCAACCCCATTTCGACCACTGTTGTGAAGTTTGGAATTCCATTTAGTAGAGGCCAGTCTGAACGACTTTAAAAACTTCACAACAGATGTGCTAGAATTAATGAACTTTAGAGATGAGCCTGGGCAATCTCAACTGGCCCTTGAACAATAAGGGTGGAAAAGCTTGGAAGAAAGGCGAAAACATATTATGGCCCGGCTCATGTTTAAGGTTGTCAATAATTTGGCACCGTCAAGGTTCTCATCAATGTTCCAGAATTCTAACCATATCCACAGTTATTTACAAGGTTCAAATTCGTCTCTCTTTCTGCCACGACCAAATACCTACCCTGGTTCTAGAGGCTCTTTGCGAGGCGAAACAAACAAGAGGTGAGAAGGAAGAGCCTCTGGTCACATCGGTTGCAAATCCCACTTCCACACTTGATTAGGGTTCAGAATTTGAATCTCGCATGTGATTGGCCATTTGTAAAAATATGTCAAACCGGTTTGGGAAATAAACATTACTGCAAGCTATTTAAAGCTATAATTAGCTTGCAACTCAGGTAAAACTGATCAGGAAAAATTCAAGTTTAAATTTTGACATTTTCAGGTGAAATGTGCATAATAAAGTCGTTATTTTTGTGAAATGATAACCATTTTTGTAAAATATAGTCAATTTAGACCCAATTCGTTTGCGAATTTGCTTTAGAAAGCGCCAGAAATGCAGTCCTGGAGCTTCAAAAATGTAAAAATTTTCTGGGGGACCCCCCTTTCTTCGCAAACTTAGCATGACAGTGGAAATCGATCAGAAAAAGCTCTATTATAATTATTACACTTCAGGTAAATTTTTAACATTGAAGTTCAAATTTCAGGTGAAATCCCCCCCCCCCAACTTCATGATCAGGTGCTTCGCTACGTCCCGTGCATGTTCTGCTGTTATTATGTTATGTTTGTGTGCACGTTTCGTGTTGGCAAAGCGAGCCTATTCCAAGGAAATTTCAATACTGCACACTTTAGAGCAGGTGTCATCAATGACGTCACCATACAGCCAGATAAAAGTTTCCATTTCCGATTGACCCCAGCATTTTTACAGTAAATATTTCAGAAAAAATAACCATACATCTTCTCTAAAGCATTACTTCAACTTTCATGCTTAAAGTAGATAAATTTGGAAAAAGCGTTGAATTTTTAGTCAACTTTTTTCTAGTCCTACGATAGCCGGCAATTTTCCACGTTTATTCCTGTTTCCTAGGATGAGAAATATAATGTAGACAAAGGTTAATTAATGCACACTTGTACATTGAGAAAAGTTTGCCGCAGTGTAATTGTAAATTCTTTAAAAATGCTCTATGGAATTCTGAAACCTCTATCAAAGCTTACAACTTCTTGCCTTCTGCTCGAGTTTAATTGTGTATCTGATACAATACGGTCGCTGATGCTAATAACTAAGTACTAGTTAAAACATGAGCAGCCGATCGTAATTTTAAAAATAAACATTGTCTAAGCCGAGAAAATCAAAGACAAAACTGTATGTAAAGCTGTTATGTAAATCAGGACAACTCTTTATCCGATTTACAAACATTGATTACACATTCATTTCTTTTGTATTTTCCTCATTAATTATTAATGAGTTCTTTAACATTAATTAATTATTACATGTTAGATATATTCTCCGAGCTCATCCCTCAGGAACCAATTGGTATCATTCTCACACGGGATTACAGAGAGATGAAGGCATTTTTGGTGCTTTGATCGTAAGAGAGAAACGAAGTGTGGTCTCGACGTTGTCCTCGAGAATGGGAAATAATCATATCCAAGATAATCGATATCATATGATGGCTATCACAGAACACATGAGAAAACCAATAGATCAGAAGAACCCAAATCCACCATGTGTATATGATGGGTCTAGCCCTGCTACGAAATATAGAATCTATTCATTTCAATTGAACGGAATAAAACTGGATCAAAAAATAGACAAAGACGGCGTTTCTCCACAGGTAACTTTTACAATTTGAGTTTTTCAATAACAGTACATGCAAACCGAAAACTGTGTTTAAGAGCGAGGTCGATCAAGGGGCAAATCACTCCTAAAAAGTGTAAGAGGCCATAAAACCATACCGCATACGATTATTTTTGTGATTTTTCAATTTTTTGCGATTTCTTAGTGAATTTTATTTCATTTTTTCTGGTTTTATGTGGTAGATTTTTATTTTTGTATTTGTTTTGTAATTTTTGTGATTTTTCTAAAGGTTTACGTGATTGAAATCAGAGATTTGTCCTTCGCTTGAGAGGTCAATGACCACAGAACACATAAGATCTAAATGGGTCGTTTTTTACACACACGTGTTTAATAAAACACTCGCCAGTCCATGCTTCATTATAGGTATAAAACAATGGCCTCGTAAAAAAGTGCCAATTAATCTCGTTATAACTTCAATTCGTCACGTGGCACCTAGCCTGCTCACACCAACGTCTGTGAGCAGGCTACGTGGCACCAGTACGGGAGAGAAAAAATTAGGGGGCAGAAAGAAAAACAAAATTTCCATGTAAACTTTCCAAAATTCTTGTCGACAGGGGAGGCGGGAGGGTGCGAGGAGTTGGAAAATATTTCGAAGGCGTTAACATTTTTCGAAACTAATTATATATTTCTTGCATTTTCGACTATTATCTTATTTCTCCCATCTTTTTGCTTGTTTGTAATTTGCCCAAATTCATTCCCCTCAATCTCAGGCATACATCCGTCAAAAAAGTGCTTATTGACAGCCCTGTACGTGTGAACTTACATTGCAAAGCTCAATTATTGTTGATGAATCTCACAATAGAAATTACAATTTTCAGGAACCATCCTTCGCTGTCTCTCCTGGAGAGTATCATCGTTTTCGAGTCGTTGGAGCCATGGAAGAAACTGTTCTTCGTGTTTCTGTCGACGATCATAAATTGTTTGTGGTTGCTACGGACGGATATCTTACAGAACCATTTGAAGTTGACATTGTGCATCTCCATGCGGGCGAGCGTTACGACTTTATTCTGAAGGCACGTGACAATGTTCCTTTGGGAACTGTTTTTCCAATTAGAATCGAATCTGTCGACGTGAATTGCACAAACCACGACCAACCTGCACGCATTGGCTTTGCATATCTGAAATACTCCAATTCAGGAACAGACATTAGGGGAAATGTACCGAAGGATTCAAAGCACTGTATTAAAGATTGTATAGCATTGAATTGTCCTTTCGCTGCTTATCCGGTAGCTCATAAAAATCTTCCAAACGCTCCATCTTATAAATGCATCGACGTGTACGATGCTCTTAGTCTTCTTGATCCAACTCCAGATTACGAGCTTTCTGACGATAAAACGCCAGCGACCACGAAGTTTTTCAACCATAATTTCTACATTAAAAATGATGTACTTACAGCAAGGGTTAATAACATTCATTTTGCGTTCCCCAATACTCCCTTTCCCGTGAGTGGACAAAATCCTGTAAAAGATGAATGTCCTTATCAGACGACTAAGGACTGTAAAAGATGCCCACATACAGTTTCTGTGCGTAAAGAATATCAGTCGAAACCGATAGAATTCGTGCTCTCCTCACTTCCGGTTGACAATTTTGTCTTACAACAACCAATCACAAGGCTCGGAACACATCCCATTCATCTGCACGGTCGATCATTTTGGGTGAAAGAAATTGGCTATCCAACATATTCTGATGAAGGAAAGATTACGAAAGTGAACGCTGATGTGGATGTGCCACCGTGTGGTTTTGGAAAGTGGAAGAACGGAAGACCATCTTCAATCAAACCAGTGAACAAAACATCAATCCGGAAAGACACAATTATCGTCCCAGCTGGTGGTTATGTTGTCATTGAGTTCGTGGCACATAATCCAGGATCGTGGATAATGCATTGTCATATTGACCGTCATCTCGTCGACGGAATGGGAATTGTCATAAAAGAATTGCCGGAATGTGCAAATCCTCCTCCACCGCAATTTATGACACAAGCTAAGGAAGTTTGCATCAGCGTCGACGACTTTCTTAAAAGAGAGCGCAATCAAGTATGTCCAGTGATCAGCGTGGTAGCAGGTGACGAACAACTACCGAGCGAATTGGAAAAAGACGAATTTGAAGATTTCAACAGCTCTAAAGACGACAATAACGATGAATCTGCATACCGCAAACTGAAGAAATCTCTGGATTACGAAGAAGAACAACAGCACCCAAGAGCCAATTTACGTGGATTTCAAAATGGCAAGCCTTTGGACGGAGAAAGCAGAGAATGGTTTAAGAAAAAATGAACAAAAGCTCTCGCAATTTGAAAGTTGAGTCCTTTCAAATGAAATTGCTTATAGGTAGTGCTTGCAATAAGTATCAGCTGTGAACTGCTATAGAAATATATAGAATTAGATTGGCAACAGGACTAAAAAAAGTCATTAAATTGACCTTTCCCCTTATAACTAAAATTTCGATCTGGACAAAAATTTCATCACAGCTTGAAAGAGCATCACAAAATTAGTAATATTCCAAAGTTTTGTTGCAAAATCTTGTAAAATGAGGAAAATATAGCCTTGCGAAGTTTGCCGTTTTTCAGTCATTTTGTATTACAAACGGGAAATTGACATCCGATTCGGGTGTTGGGGCTGCAATTTCCCGTTTGTAATACAAAATGACTGAAAATTGCAAATTTCACAAGGCTCTATTTTCCTCATTTTACAACATTTCGCAACGAAACTTTGGAATATTACTAATTTTGTGATGCTCTTTCAAGCTGTGATGAAATATTTGTCTAGACTTGCCTAGATCAAAATGTTGGTTATAAGGGGAAAGGTCTATTGTTATAGTATTTTGAATTTCCATCTTCATTCCACGATGATGTAATGTTAACTAGTAACGTAGATGTCTGCACTTGTAGCTTTGCAGTAAGTATATTACATGTTTTGCCTTAATCTCACAGTTTCTATCAGTTGTTTTAAGAAGTGTTATTTGGGACCGGTTGTATCAAAACGTAGTAGTCGAAGTTTGACTATACGTACTTAGGTCTTGGCCACAGAATAACAATTTAACCAGAAGCTCCACTCTCCACGTTACACTTGTTTGGCGATCTGAAACGAGCGCGGCCAAGCCATGCAAATTTATACAACGCACTTGTTTCCAGATCGCTAAACAAGTGTAATCAGCTTTTTGATATGTCGAGAGTGGGACTTCTGGTTAAATTGTTATTCTGTGTCTTCGCGTTAAGCAACGTTTACATGCTACGATCATTGAACTATAAATAAACTGGAAGGCTAACTGCTATGATGAAGGCCTATGATTTGATGAAGCCAAAATAGTTTTTCTGAGTTATGAGCAGAAATACTTGACCCCAAACGTCGGGCAATATATCAAATTGAAGCTATTGAAAATTGCTATTCGCTGTGGAAATTTCAAGACTTCAGCGAAAAGAAAACTATTCAAAAAATACAAAAACAACTGGAAAACGGCAAATTATCGGTAATTATGTTTGTAGTTTTTCAACATTTCCCTTTTAGCTAAAGTCTAGAATTTTTTATACCAAATAGCGTTTTTCAATAGCTTCAATTTGATATATGGCCCAACGTTCAGTGTTGAGTATTTCTGCTCATAACTCAGAAAAACTAAAATGCACTGGCTTCAATTTCCCCCCCTGAGTTAGCCTTCCAGTTTATTTATAGTTCACTGGCTACGATTTGTCGTGTACGATTCGTATTCTGACGTATTAAAATGAGGCTGGCGCCATAATTCATTGCCGTTTCGTTAAAAAGAAATTTCAAATTATTATTATTAGAAAATTTGCACAAATATAATAGCAATTAAAAGCTAAATTGTTATGTACATTACAAGAAATAAGATTATGTTAAGAGTATAAAACGTATAATAGGAGTATAAAATAGATCTATAAAGGTATAAAGCTAAAACTACCCAAACAATGTTTCATTGTACTTGCTAACAGCATAGCTGATTGGGCTACTCTTAAAAGTTCGGTTTTACCCATAAAATTATAGTACATTTGATTGTTCAGCCTCGTTGTCCTCTTCCTGACTTCACAGATTTTCTTGGGTAATAAACTGTGTAATTTATGGTTAGGCTTCGACATTTCTTTAATTCAATGCACATTCAAGCCAACGAATGGCCAACTTACGCGTGTTTATTCAATGACGTACGCCAGAAAACGAATCGTACACGATTAATCGCAGCATGTAAACGTAACTTTACCTTTAAATCCTTAAAAGAAATTAGTTACTGTAGCTACATGACTCAACTGCGTTTCACAAAACGTAGTCAGTCGGCAGCCTATATAGTTCTTGCCTTTCGAAATGTGCTGGTACCATTGAAGTGAATAGAACTGGAACGCCAGAAACTTGCAGCGAAACAGGACTCTTGAGAGCGAATAGATAAATACTGACTTGAAATTTCCAAAAAAGAAGCCATTTATTTAAAGGTGATCTACAGTCCGATCTGCGCATGTGCACAAATGAGCCCACAGTTTATGATACAAACAGTTTAACTATGTTTTGAGTTCTTGAAAAGCCTGATTGTGGTTTCCTGATCATTTATTATACTCTAGAAGCTTGAAAATATAAATAGTTGTCGAATAAAGCTCAGTATTTTGGACACAAAAATGTAAACAAAGGCTTTGTTTACATACGGACTGTAGATCACCTTTAACTATATTTATTTTGAATTATTCTTATAGAAGACCATATTGGATTAGCTATGACAATGCCAGGCAATCGATGATTCCAGCCATGGGCGTACCGGAAGGAAAAAATTAGGGGGGCGGAAAGAAATTTGCCCCCCCCCGTCGCCAAATAAATTTCGGTCAGTGTACCATTTTAGGGGTCCAAAATTTTTCGGACCATCGAACAAATTTTCCAAACATCACAAAATTGACATAATTTCCCACAAAATTGACAGAATTTGTCCCATTTATTTTTATAATAACCCAATATTGCCCGACTGTGAAGCGAATATTGCCCAACTGGCTTTGTTTGCCCAACAAACTGGGGTTATTATTAAGAGAGATTTGATTTCTTTTACTACTTTTTTTGCATTTTAATTTCCCACTCTTCGCCCGACTTACGTTGAACATTTGCCCGACTTTGTAATCTTTTTTTTTTTGGGGGGGGGGGCAGCTGCCTCCCTGCCCCCCCCCCCCCGTCCCGTACGCCTATGATTCCAGCTGTATACTAAATTTTGATCTAGGCAAGAAGAAAGAAATCGATCACCACAGCTAGAAAGAGCATGTTAAAATTAGTAAAATTACAAAGTTTGGTTGCAAATTTTGTATTAATTTGTATTACACAAGGGAAAATGCACCACATTTGGGCCGAAAGTGGTGCATTTTACCGTGCGTAATACAAACTTTTTTGATTTACGGCCATATTTTCCCCATTTTACAAGATTTCGCAACCAAACTTCGCAATTTTACTAATTTTAAGATGCTCTTTCTAGCTATGGTGATGGATTTCGATTCTCTTGCTTAGATCGAAATTAAGTCTATGGCTGGAATTGTCCATTAGAATGTTCCGATTTTAATACCCGTTTTAAATTTTCTTTATAATGCAATCATAAAAAATGGTGTTGGTCGTTGCATAAGCACTCCAGTATTAATAAAGTTTAGTTTTCCTCCAATAGTAACACCGGTGGGGGAGTCGGTTTAGACGCCGACCATTCGTTCATGCGGCAGGTGGTACTGGGTTACATGTTACCAGTAGCAGGCTCCAACCTGACCTGACCCTAACTTTACTTAAAGCTGGAGTTATACGAGCAACAAAATTGCTGCAACTTGCAACAAAATCTGATTTCAACGCAGTAGAAATGTCGACACATGTTGTCTTGTGATTTGTAATTTATGTGTAAACATTTTCAATTAACATGCGTTGAAATCAGATTTTGTTGCAAGTTGCAGCAATTTTGTTGCTCGTGTAACTCCACCTGAAATGCAAATAGCAATAAAAATTAATCTGATAATATGAAACTGGTTTTCCGTATCTCTGAGGATGGTTCTGAAATAAAAATAAGTTTCTCCCATTTGGAAAAGGGATTCAATATAATTCAAAATCTTTTTACTGACTTTCTATATCGTTCTTGATATAAAAGATACTGGACTTCATTTCAAACAAAATCATTATTTTGTGTCGCGGTGAGCAATTCTAAATCCCATTTTTTACTATTGCCTATTTTAAAATTAAAGCACAAGTACTAGTTACATAGAAACTTTCCACTGATAATATTTTATTTTTAAATATCTACCCTGGTTGTGACGTCATTTAATTAGACGTAATCATAAGACAAGACGGCGGATTTACCCTGGTCTCATATTCAGCAAATACCACAGGTCTCATATTCTGGTCTCATATTCTCCCAGTACCACAGGCTCGCATTTTAAGCGGACTTTCTGTAAGATGTCCGCTGACAATACGAGCCCGCAAGAGTGGCAGAGATTTTGCTAAATTTGACCAACGATTGTCATTAGAAAATTGTCAGCAGGTTAAGCTCTATGTGACTATGTCTCCCACTGAATTAAATTGTCAAATATTCTGAAATCAATATCTAACACGGTTACAAGGTTATTAGGGAGAGTTTACGAAATGTAAGACGGCGACGTCAGGACGACGGCTAAACAAACTGTTTGAAATAAATGATTGTATGAAATATTGTCTTGTATTTACTTTCGTATGAATTTAATACAGTTTAGAGCGAGCAAAACAGAGCTTTAACCTTCAGAACAATTTTGATTAACTCTGCTAGAAAAACTACCTTGTCACGGCTTGAAATGCCAGCGTAGTTTACAAGACGTAAAAACTCACAAATTATTAAGTCCCCCCCCTGAAACCGCTGCGGATTTCAACGGGTTCTATACTGATGTTTGTGATGTTACTCTGAGTATGCATCCACATCGGGCAAGCTGAAAATTTTGCTTGGCCAGGGTGGGTTCTATACTCGTAGACACAAGAAAAGAATGAGACACTGCAAGAAAGCATTAAATCTTTTTAAATCTTTAATTCTTGTAATTTGTTAAACTTCTAAACAAAGTAAATATAACCACATAATTTTTGTACAAAATACCCTAGTTAAGACAGCCTGCTTCAAATATTTCTTCTATAGACTACCGTATCAAAATAAGCTGTTGAAATTCGTATGGAATACATAGCCAGTTTTTACTACAAAGCATAAAGTTCCTTTACACACAGAAAAGCCCAACGGAACATTTGAATAATCATCTACTGTTGTTTTCATGTTTACATGACAAAAATTTCAGCCCGGGCAGAAAATCGTCATGTAATCGACGCGAAATTTCATCCCGGGTTTAACGGTTGTCTTTATTTCGGTCTGTTTTATTTTTAAATGCAAACACAGTCTCGCAGAAGTCAAATAATAGACATGAACAATATTTCAAATTCTTCGTGAGAGCGTTTGCACAAGCCGTCGCAGCTTACTTCTAGTTCTGCAAATATTTTGATCGAAAGGAATGAAATGTCCGCCATCTTCGATTTTTGTGGATGTGCATGTGCACGTCAACAGCGGTCACGCGATATTTTTATCTAGATAACCACTGATCATTTGTACCACAGTTAATAGAATACATGGTTTGGAGACACGATGAAAGTACAATATAACTCATTAACTATGTTGGTTTCGGTTTATGCAAGAATTTGGGCCTATCTCGTCACGTGTGTATTGTATTTTTTCCCGCACAACCAATACTCAAAAGCAATGTTTAAATTGAGCATTTGTTCAAGTTACGAATGGATAACTCAACCACAAACTTGTTATTGGTTATTTGAGCGAAAATACAACACACACGTGACGAGATAGGACCAAATTCTTGCATAAAGCTGGACAATAACATAGTTAATGAGTTATATTGTACTTTCATCGAGTCTCCAAACCATCTATTAAAATAACTGTGTTTGTACTCAAAACTATACTCTGTCTGCCCTTCGAAGTATCAAGATCACTTAAAACCTTTAAAACATCTACCAATCAATATTTGGCCAGCAACGAATACTTTTATATGATTTTTTCTGTGTTGGTGTAATGTACTCAGGTGAATTTGATGCTTGTGATGTTACTGTGAGTGTATATCCACATCGGGCAAGCTTGAAAAATATGCCGAACATTCCCACAGTGGTGATCAAAGATTAAAAATTTATCAAAGATGGCGGACATTACTTCAAGTGAAAATATTTCAAGAACCAAGCAAGATATGAAAAATCGGTGAAAGAAGTTGATATATAGTTTCAAAAGTTGTTTCAAATGAGAAAACAAAAGTTTATATTGCCAAATCCCTTCGAACGGATTGGACAAGCAAATAAAATCCTAAATCGGTGAAAATCACGGGAATTCGTAGTAAATTGCAAATCGCTTTTTTCTGCAAAACCAAAACGGCTTGCAAATTACATACTGTACGCAAGTCCATCGCGCTTTTCGCGCGTAGAGGTCTTGGTTTCGACTTTGAAAGGTCAGCCTTAATAGACCTTATGCATAATGACGTTACAAAGCTTGATGCCCGCGAGGAATGCTGGTCTTAGTAGTCATCTCCCGGGAAAATTTCGATAGTGGCCATTTTGAATTGTTTAATTTTCCCGGGCGATGACTACTAAGACCAGCATTCCTCGCGGGCATCAAGCCTTGTGACGTCTTAGGCCATATAAAATAAATTCCTTGATTCTCATCGCTAAATTTTAAAAACTCCCAGGAGGCGGGAGGTTTATATTTTATATTTTATGTCAAAATATAAAAAAAAAGTTTAAAATTTAAAAAATTGGAGAGGGAGGTCTTTTTATATTTGCCCTTAAATATATTATAGAAGAACGCTATATAAGTGGATAATTGCACATGCGCTAATGAACATGCATAAAGCCTGATTTCCACTAGGCGGAATTTTGCGCGCGGAGCGACATTTTCCGCAGCCACAAAGTTGAAAGCAGTTCAACTTTTTCAGTTTCCGCGCGGAAAATGTCGCTCCGCGCGCAAAATTCCGCCTTGTGGAAATCAGCCTTAAGGGTCCACACGAATCGTTGTAATAAGGCAATAAGCCCATTTTTTCCTTCAGTATTCCAAGCATCCCTTAACATGTTGCAATATCAACGATAAAACAATTTTATATCGCAAAAATTCCAATATAAAATATAAAAATAACTAAATCTCTGAAGATGCTCGGTCGGGCGGTAAATTTATATTTTATAACAAAATACAAAAATATATCAACGCGGAAACCAAAATATCGTCGGGCGGTGATGAGAATCAAGGAATATATATTTAAATATGGCCTTATGCACAAGGTCTATTGATTCAGCTGTATGTTTTTGGAAAAATATAATTTCTCGTTGTGAGAATCTAGTTTTAGCACATAGGCATTGAAACCGGTATTGACACCAGTATAATATCACATTAAATCAAAAACACACTAACCACATAAATAATAAATAACTCTTTAAAGGTTCTCCCCAGCAGTTACGTACAGCCAGGGGAACCTTTATTTTAGACAACGCGAGAACACGAGCAGGATAATGGGGGTCATGAAAGGAGAACGTGGATTAGCATGAAGGGATATCAGTGGTAATTGTTGCCAGCTCGTTTCAAGATTGTGTATCTTGCTCTTTTATTCTAATGAAATAAAAGCAGAATTTTTGTTTCTGTGCTTCGTTTGTCGGGAGATTTCATTTTGTTTAGCAAAGTATATTTCACAGCACGTACCTGGAGGGTGAATCCTGTAGACCCGAGACAAATCCCATCAAGCGAGAAATTTCTTCTAGATCGCCTTGTGGAACAGTTACCTAAACGTAATGACTTGTAAATATAATGTCACTGACTGAGCGAGAGTCCGGACTGTAGGGTATTAGCTCCCTAAAAACGCTATGGAAATTCAACAGGCTGTCGTACATCACAAACTTAACTAAACAATTTAATTTTTACATAGGACGAAAAAACAGTTATTTAGCTTTTCAATGATACTCTTTTTAAATCGTAACGATAAGAAATGGCTACATACTCGTCAAATAAAAATTGCCGGTCGAAATCACATTCTGCTACCGTTGGGAATTGCATGGAAAACGAAACAAGAAGGAATTAAAGTTTAATGTTAAATTATCTAAAATGAGCTCAACTCGTCAATCTTCGTCTTAGTGAGACAGTAAGAACGTCATTATTGCATTAAACATGGTTCAATTAAACTCTGAACAGAGAACATTCGTAATCAAAACGTTTCACGAAACAAATACCTTGCAAGGCCTTGCAACAGACTCGCATTGCTTTTGGATTGACTAACTTTGCATAATTAATGTATTTTCAATTCACAACGGTGAAAGAATGTGATTTCGACCGACAATTTTTATTTGACGAGTATGTGGCCATTTCTCATCGTTACGGTTTAAGAAAGGTATCATAGAAAAGCTAAATAACAGCTCTTTCGTCCTATGTAAAAATTGAATTGTTTAGCTAAGTTTGTGATGCACAACAGCCTGTTGACTTTTCATAGCGGTTTTTTTAGACACCCTGTACAG